CCCTGGACAGTGGTGTTCACTGCCTGTCGCTCTGCCTGAGAGAGAGTGGAAAGACACACAACGTCAGACAAAAAATTGCTTCACAGGAAATGAGCCTTTCAGACAAACAGAGGTGAATACATGTGCTTGGATGTGTGGATTAGTGTTGGTGATTCCGGGGAGGTTTCTCCGACGGCCCATCAGCGTCTGAACATAGCCGTTCTTCACACACTTCTTTACTGTGTCTTTGAGGAAGGCGTTGATCCCTGAAACATGAAGACACGGGAGGAAAAAAGGTTATAGTCCTAAAAAACCAACAATCATGAGGGCAGCAGTGTATAATTCACAACTTCCACACCTGGTGAATCAACAGTAGAGGGCATGTGGTGTCCACTGTGGTGAACCCAATAAGGGTGGTGGATGCACAAAGTATTTTCTTTTCCAAATGATACAAATACCTTACAATTGTCTTGTTTTAAGACTGTACTGATTGAACACAATGATCGCTTAACGTGAAAATATACATGAAGAAAAGGTTCACCAAATCTTAGGAAAACTACGCTGCATTCCTACCTTTGTATCTGGCTTTAAAACTCTCAATATAGCAGGCTGCATCGTTTTCGTCCACTCCCATCTGTTCTCCCAAAGACTTGGCCCCCATCCCATAGATTATACCATAACAAATCTTCAAAAGAGATTATGTACAGTGTCAGATGTTTTTAAATACTGTTGGTACTCCCACTGTAAACATCTGCCTCCGTTTATCTCCCTCCTGCACAGCTCTACCTGTTTGGCCTGTTGTCTGAGGTTGTCAGTCACAGTCTCTGGATCAACACTTTTCCACTCAGCAGCAATGCAACGAAATACATCTGCTCCTCCATTCAGCACCTAAGTTTTAATGTAATTGAATAATTTATTTTACAGTTTCAGGTGTTTGTTTTGTCTATTTGCCTTTGTCTAATAAAGCCACTCACCTGCAGGAGTCGTTGGTCCTTAGACAGATGAGCCAATATTCTCAGCTCCAACTGGGAATAATCAGCAGCTAATATCATTCCACCTGCAAAGAGATGTGGGAAAAAATGCTTTAAAGATAGCCTGAAGCTGATCAAGACAAGTTACTACTATAACCAAACATTCTTACCTGAAAAAGGAACAAAGGCATGTCTCATACTGACAGAGAAAGTGGGGCCTTGGTCTGCAGAAACTGACGACACAACAGGAAGTCTTTTCCTTCTGGAACAGAGGAGAACTTTTTTTTTTTTTTTAATTTTTAAATGGTAGTCCATCACATTTGTATAGAACCTGGAACAAACAGCCTCCCAGGATCAATGATAAAAAACACTCAAACTAATTAGTACGATTAGAGAAATTATTATTGTCGACAATGAGCTTCTGGTTCTTCTTCTTTCAGTTTATTAATTTCTCTGTTTCTCTCTCCATTTCTGGTTAAATCATTGTCAGTGCTAGATTGATGTAGAAATGTTAATGTTGTTCGGCCCAGAATTTAGACTGGGATTTAAATGATGATGATCCAGTACCTACCCTTGTTTTTTGTTGATTTTGTTTCGGTCCTGTGAAGGTGGGCTCTCATCCACGATCACAGGCATGTGAATCTCAAAGTCTTTGGGGACATTCTGTACGTTGGGCTCAGTGAAGCTGACTCTTCCTAAAAAGGAGAAACACTATGAGGTTGCACTGCACAGCAGCATAGAAAAAGTGACCATAAAGTTGTGTTTTCATCAAACATATTACCAGTGGCTGTGTGAGTCTGCGCTATGGGGTAGATTCTGTCCATGTCCAGAGTAGGATGATATTTCTTTTCCCTCTGCAGAGGGAACACCACTTTAGTTAAGGCGTTTGTAATTCTCCTCCACTCCAGAATCACACCAGGCAACGGGTGCAAAGGCTTAAGTTTCTCCAGAACATCCTGTCGACACAAAGTCAGGTCAGTGGAACAAAGAACGGAGATAGTGATTGAACACTGGATTGTATCATTTAATAAATAATTAAAACAAAAGTTATAATCACCTTAGGTCATTTGTGAAAGTCAAAGTTCTGATTACCTTTGTTGTACTGAACTGCTTCCCAAGCCGCACTCTGCCTCCACCTCTCCTGCTGTAGCCAAGAGTCTTTTTGCTTTTTAGTCCACTCAAATCACCGTTTGGAGGCAGGTGAAGTTCCAAATACAGCACCTAACATTTATGAATAGATGTTATGTGCCTTAAATATGTAAAAGTTTGGGTTTTGCTTTGAAACAATGACAGCATTAAATGAACCTGCACCTGGGCCACGTCGTCAACACATGTGAGTGAAAAGCTGTGTCCAGCCAGACTGTACGCCTGGGACTCCAGCGCTGCGAGTTTAGCCTGCATCACATGTTTTTGCCGCTCACACTCTTCCACACTGAAGCCCAATCCATTCAATTCCAACAGAGCCAAACAGACCTGTGAAGGCATCTCGATGTTCCTGAACACGTCTAACACAGAGGGACAACATCAATCCACTCAGGTTTCTACAAAATGGTGATTTTAACACTGCAAAACTGAGTAACTGTTCACTCTTGGTACCGAGCAGCCCGTCCTTTTCCAGTAGACCAGTCACATGGTTCATGACAGTGTGAACGAGCACACTGGTGGTAGCAGCCCTAACGCGGGGACAGTACGCGTGTGCATTTCCAAGTCCGTCCAGCAGAGGTAGTTCTCTGGGACAGAAGACAGTCACCATGTTGTGTAGAGTTCTTTCCTCACTACTAGGGTCTAGCAGCCAACATGCTACCTGTAGTCAACAATTATTACAGAGATATGTATTACAGGTTGAAGTTATATTCATTTTTTGAAATTATTGGTTATTAAGAAAATATGATTAAAACCATAAATTAATTTAACATTCTCTCACCTTGGGATCTTCACAGTTTCCCTCCAAGCTGATGTCACAGCTAAGGACTAAGGTTTTGAAGACCTGGATAATGTCATACGTAACAACCACAGCTGCACTCCGACCAGTGGATGGCCTGTTCAGACAGGCCTTCACCTGACGCAGCCTTTCCCCTACAGACAAATCGTCATCCAGTAGAGGAGGAGCCAAACTGGCGCTCAAACCTGAGAGTCGAGAGTCAACGGAGTGAGCAGAAGGATTTTATGGGCCGTGCTCCCCTGCATTTGTGTGTCCACGTATACCAGTACCTCTGCTCTGCTCTTTCTGCAGAGATATATAATAGGCATCTCTTCCTCCCCAGCAGACAGACATTCCAATCAACAGCAGTTCTTCACTGTCTCCTACTGGGAAACCGTCAGTCCGGTTCAGGTTCTGATCAGCTGTGGATACAGCAAATGGATACATGTAAAGTGAGGCGATGACATTGGACAAAAATGCTTATCTTAGTATAATGTTGCTATAGTCAAGTCAGTGTTCCAGATTAACATGGAGCTAGCATTGTTTACTTGTAACCTGTAACTTAGAGGAAGTTATTAAAAATGAAGATAGTACATAAACAGATGGCAGGAGGTACGGTTAGACATTCAAAATGCCTGACTGTCTCAGCAACAGAACAAAAAGTCAACCTAATTAGGAAGCTAAAGAAATAAAGGATTAACATGATGTAAAATTGTTCCATAATATCACATTTGAAGTAAAGTAAATTAACTAGTGATAGCAATGGGTTTATAGCTATGCACTTAATACTTGGCCGTAAAGCGGCCCCTCTGGTTAGCCCACCCCATTAGACCCATCTGAACCGCAGACCCCTGTGAGTCAAAGAACACCAGGAGATTGTAATTCAAGCCCACAACAAATTTGTCTTAACAGTGTCATAAGGCAAGAGGTGTAAAAATAACACCACGGCCTGTGACGGTCAGTGAGGCGGGAGAAAGGAAAAGCAACAGCCAAATAACTTGTGATTTCCCAGGATAATGTGATCAACAACATCCTGGTCAGACTTGTTTGCAAAATAATAACAGACAAAGCTGTGCTTGTTAGATTCATTTACCTCAGAATGAGGTCATCATCATGACAACTACACACAACGCCCTCAATTGTACTGCATTCTGCTAATATGGTGGAGGCCAAAAATATGTGTATATCCTTCCAACTTTCACTGGTAACAAGTGTCAGTGATCATTTAACCGGATTAGTGATAGAAACCCAGCAGTCCAGAAAATAAGCTTTAAAAGAGGTCAGACTGGTGATCAATCAATTTGTCATGTGACAGTTTTTTTTTTATACTTCTGACATTACCTCTCTTGTGCTCCCCTCCAATATCTCCTCCAAATGCATGTCTGTCCTCCCCCCTTTCACATGCTATAGACAGAGAAAACCGATTCTTTGTTTTCCACTCTGTAATAAAAGTGTCAAAGAGGCGCTTGTTGCTCGCAACGTCTACAATGGTGAAGGCTCCAGAGTTGACGGAGCTTTCACCGGGAGACGTATCCTGAGACAGCTGAAGAGAGAACCCTTCATCAATCACAGATGAATCTGTATCAGATGGAGACACAGAGAGTTGAACTTTGTTACATTTCTGGTCCAGTTTAGTCGTTGGACCTCTGCGTGGAGTCGTCCTTAATTTTGGTGCTGATGGTGCGTTTTTTTGTGTGTGTGCCGCAGTCCTTGTTTGTCCAAAAGTGGCTGTTTGTATGTGGTTACTGTGTCGGGGTTGGGTTGTGTAACAGGTAGGTACAGTTAGCTTCTGTTGAGGCAGGGTCGATGGAGTTGACTGGTTGAGTGGCTGCGTGGTGACAGGTGACTGGACTGAAGTGGTAGTTAGCTTTACTCTGGGTGTGACAGGTGGTGTTTCCTGGGTGGGGGGAACAAGATCACCGGCAGAGCCTGGTCTCTCTGCTAACTTCTCAGTGTCTTGTCTGGAGGCCTGTGGTGAGTTAGAGTCAGTCTCAGCAGCAGCTGTAGGAGGTAAATTTAGCTCTCTCCTCTCTTTGCCCACTTGTCGTGAGGTCAGAGGTGCATCTGGAGCATCCACAGAGTTCACAGCAGTCTGTTTGTGAGTGTTTGTGTGGCCTGCTGTAGTGTTTGGCCAGGAATGGTCAGACATATTTGGCCACTGGTCAAAAATATCTTGCATGCCAGGGCTGCAAAAAACATGAGTTTCTGGGTCAGTATTTGACAATAACTTTTTTGCGATTGCATCTTTGTCTTTCTCTTCTTGTTTCCCATTTTCAACCTCAGCATTTGTTCTTCCTTGTCTCATGAACTCATTGTGTGTTTTAGCTATCGTACTACTGCACTTATTTTGGGGTACAGAGAGACCAGGCTGTGGCCATGTCTCAGCAGGTAGACCAGGTGAGCTTGACAACTGGTCTCTGTTGTGTTGCTGAGGCAGTGGACCGATGGCTTCTGTGTCTTTCTGACTTCTCTCAGGGCGTCTGTACAAACTCTGCCTCTCCATAAAATGCTCACCCACAAACAACGAGTCGCCCCACTCTGAGAGGTTAAAGGAGGACTCGCCCCATTGGATTGCCTCCAGCTTTTCCGCCATCTGGTCGGCCAGGAGCTTACTACGGTGTCGCTCCTGAGCTGATGGAAGAGGGGAACATTCGTTGTCCCCCGCCCCCTCTGCAGGTTCCTCTCCATTAAACTGAGGAGGGATCTGTTGTGGGCTCAAAGCAGCAAGCAAGGCACTGTCACACAGACTGTCAAATAGAAAGCCACTGCTTCCATTTAAAGATCCAAAATGATCCTGAGCTTCTTCATTTTGCTCACAGGTACTTTCATTTTTTATTTCCTCCACGTTTTCACCCTCATCAAGACCAGGTGGAATCTGTGAAAACAGCAACAATTCTTAAGTAAAAATACAAAACATTTAACCCTGTAAATAACTATAGTTGATCACCTGCTGGCTAGTGTTCAGAATGAGTCCATTCAGGCTGTCTGTAAGAGAGATGTTAAACCTCTGGATATTTTCCTCTTCTCGGTCACCAACCACCTCGATGTCCATTTCTTCCTTTTCCTCTTTTTCCTCTTCTCGGTCACCAACCACCTGGATGTCTGTGTCTTCTATCATGTCTGTTTCTGCATCATTCCCATTCCGATGTTGGAACGTCTGTTGAAAAATGACCCTCTCTGTCTGAGAGTCTAATTCAAAGCTATCACCAAAACTCTCTTCTCTCATTTGGATATTTTGCTCCACTTGGGCATCGGGGATCTCTCCTGCATACAGCTCTGGAGATGAGAACTTATCCATCTCTCCATCCTCCATCCTCCTGCGCTTGGCTTCGGGAGAAATTAAGGGAGCAGAGTTCGAAGTATTGCCCTGTGTAGAATTGAACGCACCAGCATTTCCCGGAGTAGAAGCTGTAACCGTTTGTTGCACCTGCTCAGTGGATTCACTTGAATTGTGAGCAGGTGTTGTTGTTGATGTTTGATCTGCTTCTACATCTTCCTGTATATATTTGTCAGTTTGTAAGGAGTGCAGAACTTTGCTAAGGACGTTTGAGTAACAGACTTTTCTTCTCTGCACGGGTGAAGCAGCACGGCCTGTAGTACCATTGTCACCTAAGGAAGCACTCTGTCGTTTTTCAACCCATGATATTGGAGTTCTGATGCGTGGTGGAGGCATAGAAGGAGGTGACAACTGAGCCTGTGGCAGCACTTCAGGAAGAGGACTTAAGTCAATCTCAGCCAGCTCCTGGGTCAGACTCCTTCCAGGAATGGGGTGTTTGATGTTGTGACCCAACCCTCTGGGTGAGACTTCAACCTTTTTCTCCTGTGGTTTTTTACACTCGTCCTTTATCTCCTCTGATCTTGTAGCCATTTGGTTTTCTTGTTTCTGATTCTCTGTTTTATTTTCTACAGGCAGCTGTTCATCCATCTCTGCCTTTTTTGTGTCTAGGCTACTTTCTTCCTGCTTCAAATCAGCTGTTTGTCTGCATTCTTGTTCTGTCAAGTCTATTCTTTCATGCACCTCCAACTTTTCTTTTTCTTCCTTTGCTATGGACTTGGACGTTCTTTGTTCACTGCACAGATCACTTTCTGATTTCTCCGTAGCTTCATTCCCAGGTCTGACAGTTTCTTCACTTTTTTGGAACACTTCTTGGTTATTTTTTTCTGGCATTAGTCCTTTTGAACTGAGATGAGAATTGGATGACAATTCAGAGTCACTGCTCTGATGGTCATCAGGACTGTTGGCTGCAGGAGCTCCGGGATGAAGCACTGCTGGGTCCCACTGAACACCCAGCCGGGCCAGGTCTTCCTGTAGGAGGAGCCTTGCCTCAGACACAATCTCAGTTGCTGCTTCCTGCTCAGTCAGAGCCCGTCCACCTGAAACCCAGACACAGCGGATGTTGCGTCTCTCTGCTGCCTCCATCTCACACTCATCGACCGCACGTTTGGAGCTGAGGGAAACGGAATATGTGTGAAAGATGATGTTGTTCTTATCTAGAATTAAACATTGATCCATATAGAATACATAATCCCTTAGTTGTCCATTTATTTTTAGACTCTATAGAGCCTCGATATGTTACAATTAAAGTTATAGGAAGTAACACGTTTATACTTAAATAGAAAATGATTGCTTCTGTGTCTCAAAATAAGAATCAATTTCCTTGATATACACTGTATTAAAATTATTAATTTCACTAATTGTCATTGAAGTCATTGAATGATAAGTAAAATAATGCCAACACCTTTTAAATGGGACTGCATTCCTCAGGGCTTTCTCCACATCAGACACAGACGCCCTTGCCAGTTCAGCAACAGTACAGAGACCTTGTGCGTATAATGCTCTTGCTCTCGTTGCATTCAAAAGGGAAACCCTGACAAGGTCAACCAGTTCCCTCTGGACGCCGAAGCTCAATCTGGTTTGGTACTGAGTCAACAGAAGTTCCATGTTGTGCCAACCAAGACGCCTGCAGAACACTGTCACCATACCTGTGTGGATAATGTGTAAAACAATTTGACAAAACTTTCTTTTTGACTATATGCAATCTTTTTTATTGGTCGACTTTGGTTGTACTATGTTCTGCTGAAATAAACTTTCCCCTGTTATTTACTTCCTTTAGACATTTGCCATCATCAATCTTTCTAGTAAACATCATTAACTATATGTTATCTATATACAGACACACTTAGACAATCCTATTATTTATGCACGTGCCGGCTAGGGTTAAGTTACAATGAGATTTGATAGGCTTTTCGTAGTAACTTGATGCGAGAGGCTTGAGCACTTAAGGAAGATGGACACAGGATGTGCCTGTGCAGAAAGCATCTAGGTGCTAATGTAACGTAGCCTGTTCTGCACACCACTGGGGCGTGCTCGGCTTCTTCCATCAAGTTGGAAGCGTCTGCAGAAATCAAAGTCAATGTATTTAAAGCTCTAGACTAAGCTCTCAAATGCACTCAACAACAATGTTCGGAATGTACCTGAATATGTGGAGGCTGACTGCTGCAGAGACTGCAACTGCCCACGACTGCAGTTGTATTTTGATGCCACTGTTCCAAGAGGTACCTCATTGACCAGATCCTGGAGAACAAGGGTGGTGAAAAACCTGCCAAGTCATAACAAGGAACAAAAGTCCTGAATTAAAGTCCTGTGGAAACACACACACATTTAATCTGCATCTTTGATCCACCTTCAAGACGAACACTGGGACTCAAATACGTAACATGTCACCACATATACAAACATACTGTATGTATGAATAATAACATCATGTGTAAATGTGATATAATGCAGATCTAGTCATTACCGTTTATGTATCGCCATTTGTCTACGCTGCTTTTCTGTTTTGGCGAAAAGTTTTCCATTGACTGATCGTGCAAGAAAACTTTCTTGGACCCCGACCATCTCAGCTACCCTCTTCATCGATGAAGAGAGCTGTTCCCACAGGCAAAAGAACTGGTACCAGTCTATGGTCGTCCACTCTGTGTATAGGGGGGTTATCTAGGCAAGATTTAGAGATTAACTTTTGTTTACCGTACAAGTCAGGACTGAACAGGTTTCTGCAGGAGCTTCGTTCGTAATGTGAGTGTTATGTTGTATGTTGTAAAATGTTGCAAAAGAAAGTCAATAAAGTTAGAGATAAAATGAATGTAGGTAATAATTACCAGGTAGAGAATGTGCAGATCATTTTCTAGTACAAAGCCCTTCATAGCTCGCTGGAGATCAGCAAATATTCCTATAGATTCTGGAGGAGAGAGGGAAGACGAGAGGGTGGCAGCACCAAGCTGAGTGGGACAGTATCGCTCCTCTGGATTAGGAATGAAGTTACAAAACAAGAGTTACTGTGATGGGGAAAAAGACCATTAAAAGAAAAAAAACATATTACATTTAGAAACAATTTGTTATTAAAATAAATCAAGTGTTCTAAATTGTAACACTATTATGTATCAGTAACTCAAAGAACTAGATATTTATATATATAAAAATGATTTATGAGCTTAAAAAAATAAAACAAAAATAAAACACAAATTATTTTATTTGGCCAGTGGAGTCTTTGCCTTGAAGATATTGTTGAGCTACAATCTTTATCATGTTGTGTAACTCCTAAAGCTTGTTTTTTTCAGTAGTAGTTTTAAATTTCTATTTTTGAAGACTGTTATATCGTGATATGACGGATGATAAAATACTGCAGCAAATGTTACTTTACCTTGTGCATCCTTTTGGATAGTTATAAATTCGTTCTCCATGAGCCATTCGACACAGGCTTCAATGGCCCCTTTGTTAGTCTCTTCACCTGATTTGTCATTCCTGTCACATTTCATGCTGGCAGCTAGCAGAGAACATGAAGCATATAACCTCACATCCTGTGGAGTGCTGGCAACCCCACCAACAATTATCTATTGGGACATTGATTAGGTCACTGTGGAGCCAACTGTCACATCACACATTTTCTATAGCCAAGAATGATTTGCATCACTTGATCAATTTTGTTATTTTAAATGTGAAACACACCTCCAGTATAGCTCGCAACATGCTAGTGGTAACACCTTCTCCTTCCCTTCTGCTCAAACAACTACTGATTGGTTGAAGAGCACCTTTTAGAAGACTTATACCTTTCTTGTGCTCTGTTTCTTTACACAGCAGCACACTTTCACCTAAAAAAAGAAACATAAAACATAATTTTATACACAAACTCCAGATTGTGCTGATTGTTATTAGCAAAAAAAAACTGCAAAACTTTTCACTTTCTTTTTCTGTCTTCACAACACACCTATAGTGTCTACACCTTTTCTCCCTGCTCGTCCAGCCATCTGTTTGTATGTGAGTGCATCCAGCACGTGTCCATTGAAGGTTGGCGTTCGAATGATGACCCTGCGGGCTGGAAGATTCACCCCTGAAGAGAGGGTAGAGGTGGCCACCAGGACTTTAACTATACCCTGACGAAAGGCTCCTTCCAACACATCTCGCTCATCAAAAGTCAGTCCTAAGAATGAAGTATAAATCGTCAGCAATACACTGGTGTTCTCAGGATGGATTAGACGAAGGTATATATTTTTGGCAACATTAACCTCATTCACACAGAAAATTGTTTTGTGTTTTGACTGTTAAAAAATATGGACTTTGTTGTGGTTAGGGTCTCATGAGTCTGTGTTCACCTGCATGATGGAAGCCTACCCCCCAAGGCACAGTGCGCTGGAGGATGGGGTCGAGCCCAGCAGGAGTTCTACTCAACTGGGCAAGGACATCAACTAGACCATCCTGATCCAGACACACAGGCTGGATATCAGACCCAGTCTGTTGTTCTGAGAGAATAACACCACAAACCAACATCATTGTTTCCCTAAATATATTTGAAAAGACGAAAAGGTTTATTACGTGAATTATTTTTCTCTTTTCTCCTACTTGTGTGTTTGAGATTGTAGAATTCTCTCGCAACACTGTCAGCAAGTTTCTCACACCAGTTTTTTGAAGGACAGAACATCAGTACAGAGTGACCCTCTCTCACTGTCTCATAGCACAAACTCACAATATGATCATCATCACCCTGTAAGACAAAAAGACTCAAATATACATCAACGTATTACTGAATACATTCTGGCAAGACATATTGGACACTCCAATATTTTGTTTACCCTAATGTTGAGTAAAGGAGTAAAGTGCTGGACCACTGAGAGGCTCTTGTCGTAGAAGTTGCAGCCCACTTTGAGATGCTCCAGCAGGGGCACGGGTCTATAGTCTGTCTGGTAAAGCTCTGCACCCAACCAGGTCGCCAGGAGGGAAAGGTTAGGCAAAGTGGCACTCATACCAATTATCTGTACGCCTCCAGACAGAGATCTGCAAAGAATAGTGCAGAGATATATTTACCAACATGTTTAAAGCACTATAAAATTAAAATGACATGAAGCCAACTGACCCTGTGGTGTTTTGCTTCTGTGCAATGTAACAGATTTTGGTCAAGAGCAGCTCAAGCAAATATCCTCTTCCGGAATCACCAACCATGTGCAACTCATCCACCACCACCATACCTTTACAACAAAGAATTGTTAGAGATAAAGACAAGTTATACTATTTTTAAGCAGTTAAAAGTTTCAGTTTTACAAATAATTTTAAAACATACCAAGCAAGCCCATGCCATCTTCTTCGATGAGCCTGTTAATTAATGAATTGGCCTTTTCTATAGTGCAAACAGCCACATCCAGTGCAGTGAACCCCCCAGCAGCTGAAGTGCTGCCTATGTATCCCTCCACACGAATTCCTGCTTCCTCAAATACACTCTGAAAGAAATTGTTTTACAGTTGAAATGTAAAGATTAACAAGCATAAAACAATATAACTGTGTTCACTGCTCACTTACCTGAAGGTAATGCAGCTTCTCTTTGGCCACAGAGACGAATGGCAAGATAAAGAGAGCTTTTCTTTTTGTCTCCAACACACGCTTCAAGAGCAGCAGCTCAGAAACTAGAGTTTTTCCAGCACTAGTTGGGGCTGAAAAGGTACAAATGTAAGCAGTGAACTATTTATAATATTTGAGAGAAAATTAATTTGGATGATATCTTCTAAAATGATATGCTTACCAGAGTATACCAGGTTACCTCCCTGCAGCACATTTCCAACAGTGAGGCACTGAGCCTGCCACTCAAACATTTGAGTCACTCCATGTTTCTTATAGCGCTCCAGGATGGGCTTTGGTAAACCCCAACTTGACAACAGCAGCTTTTCACCTTGCTCCATGGGAGCACACAAAGCTATTCCTACAACAGAGGATAAAATTCATTGGCATTAGCTGTGTTCATACAATGTGAAACAGAATATAGAAATAACTATTTTGTTTTATTCCAGGTTTTACAGCTATACTAAAATAATCACCTGGCTGAGGTGTTGTGTCATTAAGAGTGCTCAACTCTAATCCACTGAGGACTGTTAGTACAGATAGCGACCCATTCTGTAGTGATTGCTGGAGTTTTGCTTTCTTCATAGCAGCTGCAAGCCGCGTGGGACTGAATAGGATGTAGTCTCGTGATGCATCAAGTGGGGAGCCAGCATTCTTACTTGTGCCACTCTCTTCTGTCACCAAAGGAGAGTTTTGTTTTTTGGACACAGGTCGCTTCCTAATAAAACACAGACAAATAACTGCAAACAACAAATAAATGGAGAAGCGAAAAAAGGATTATTGTATTAGTTGAGACTTACTTTGTAGATCTTCCAGTTTGTTGATGGCTTTTGATTTCTGGACATGGCATTTCATTATTACATGTAGGAGCAGACGTTGAGGGTCTTCTTCCGGAGTCCTTACGAGCATTCTCTAGCTCCTCTGAATCCTCACCAAAGAGAAGTTTCTGGGCAAGATCTTTGCAGTCAGTGGTCCAACCTGGTCTCTTAAAGTCATTGTTGGGATTGCCCTCTTTAGCTTGGATACTGGGTTGTCCTTTATTGGTGGGTGAAGAAAGTACCATGCAACTGTTGCTCTTATTATGTGCAAATGGTCCAACAGACCTTAATGAGCCCAAGGCTGATGAGGATGATTCCGGCTGCTCTTGTGCATTTCTTTTAAGTGCAGTTTGATAAGTATCATGAACCGCAGGCTTTGCAAGATTATCAGCATCCAACACTTTTAGAATCTCCTCGTCAAGAGCCAGTGTAGATTCTCCCAAAGGCAACGCTGCTTTTTCAACCTGAAATAGGAATGTAATGGCCATGTGTGCCTTAAAAATGAAAATACAGAGATCGCTAAAACACGATTTTGTACTGTCAAACACTTACACGCAGGTTATCTCTAACGGTGTTTTCATCCTTGTTGGCTTTGTCTGACCGGTAACAGGCTTTCTGCAGACTGTCTTCACATCTGGGATCGCCAGGAAATGTTCATAAACAGTTTGCAGATCAATAATACGTCAACAATCCATTCAAATATATCACATTTAGGTCGCTCGGTAAAGATTTAAATATTACGTTTTTTTCTTCTTGATCTGATGTTGTCCTAGGTAGCATTTCTGCTTCACAGGACCTGAAATGCGGCTCATTCTGAAGACGCAGTTTCACGGTCCCCAACAGACAGTGAGTGTGAACTAACATGACATTAGTTTTACTTTCGACACAGGATTAAAACATAAAAGTAAAAAAACAAGAGAAAATAAGTAGCAGATGTTGGTGTAAAATTATTTGATTAGGACGCCAAAGGTTAAAATCTACGGATCGGAGTCAAAAATCCCGCCGGTGTCACAATAATAACAGGTCGGCAGAACAAATGTAAGACTACAAACGTTCCATGGTTAACTCCTGCATCTACCGTTAAAGCTACAGTACCTGTAATTATTATGGAAGAAACATTGGATTTAGTGCCAAGAGTGTGGAAAAATACACTTTTGTTGCATGTTTACAGGATAAATATAGAACACACTTCTCTTTAACATTTATTGAAAATGGCAAATATATCTATTCAAGGTTAGTGCGTGACTGTCTCTTCCGTGATTTTTCCCATTAGTGAAAAAGAGGCATATGAGGATTTTTTAAAGAAATGGTTAAACCTTTCATCAACAGGCGAACTAACTGAGAAGATTAAGAGGTATGGGGAGGTTGTTTGACAATTATATGCAAGCTTTTTAAAATGAGAGCGTCTGGGCTTTTTATTTAAAACAAAACATGGTCTCCCAAATTATTTAAAGAAGTGGATTATTATAGCAACATTAGATAATTTATTATTAGGGACTGAGTTTAAGTACATATTTCTCCATCATAAATTAAGAAATAATATATGTCCCCACTAATGTTTTGATGTATGTGTGGAAAAGTATTTGTTGTGGGCGTGGTCTCGGTTTGTCTCGGGCGTGAGCGGACCTACTGAGCGTGCTCTCTTAGCTGTTGCGGAGGCTTCAAGATGGCGGAAGCCCTGACAACTCAGGAGCAGCTGGTAAGAGTCTCTTCGCGTTTTTTGTCTTAACTACCCGTCGTGTTTATTTATTACGCGTGTCACCTGCGTTTTCTCATAGAGGCGGTGATTTTTCTGCATATTTTATTAAGATTACTGTTCCCGGGGGTGATGGTGTAGTAAATTCCACTGGCCCGTTCGCACCCTGACTTCGGTGTGACTGACAGCCCCTTAGCATGTGTGTTAGCATGATGGCGTTGGCTCGCAGATCGTAGTAGGGATCACAGTATTGGCTGTGGAACACGATTATGTATTCTCCCGTAAATGATGCTTTATTAATATAATATTGTCGAACGCACCGTGCTTACGTATACTAGGCCACACACTCTACTACTTGCTCCACTGGTTTCATTCCCCATGTTTTTTTGGGGCGGGGGGGTCGCTACCCATCCCAACCACCACATGTAACCTAGCCGTTACTAATGCTAATTGCTATTGTTGATTTCCAGGGACTTTCCTCGAAAGCGTTTTGGCCAAATACCAAAAGTGGATCAAACAATATGCGAAGGATGAAAGTAAACTGATGATTGTTCCAAACGTCAGTTTCCATAACTAACAACGATACAGAAAAAATAGACCAGAATGTCGCCGCTCAAGGGGAGCTAGCTATCAGATTTACAGTCGAGAATTCACAGAAGTGATTATCCAGTTCTTGGCATTGTTGTTGTCATCACTTTCTATTAAAAAGGTTGGCTCGACATCACTTTCTAGTAAAATGGTTGGTCTGATATGCTCATGGACCACAAACACTCCTTAGTAACACGGCTAATCTGATGTCAATTTCAGTTCAAGATTCTTCTGGTGTATTTCGGAGCTGTCACCCGTTCATTTGTCAGTGTAGCAGTTTAGTAACGGCTCCACACTAAAGCGATCCCCTTTCTTGATGACTAACAAGCCATGCCTTTCCTTGAATCTGTAACGTCAATCGATTAACTCACAGGTACCACTTGCAGTAGCGACTTCCTGGAATATAAAATCGCTGGAAATGGGATTTGTTTTCTTGTTCTTTTGAACTCACTGTGGGATTAGTCATGTCCTGCAGCTAATGTTCTGTTACTGGTGAAGACATGTCTTGTGTATATATAAAGCATGATCTGTCATTCGTCGCAAAAGCACACCTTATATGTTTAATCCGGACACAAATCTGGATAATTTCATGTTAATGATATAAAAGTCCGGTTCGACATTTGTTAGTTGGAGACAGCACTAGCTGAGTACAAGTGTTTTATATATTTTACAGTTGTAATTTGGAGAGTTTTTCTGTGGCCAGTGTCAAATTCCATTGCTAAAACACGACTCTGGTTTGTATTTAGTTTAGTTTGGTCATAAGACCCCAATAGTTTAACAATCTCTTATCAGCTTTTCATCACATCGTAAAGATGTGATCCACTGTTAATGGTGGTTGTTAACATGTAGATCATGAAGAGTTTATTTTGGCTAAACTTGACCTTTGCATTGTTAATATTTCTTTATTTTGTTCAGTATTAACATAAACTGTTTTTTACCATCCAAGATATGGTGCATGCTGTCCATCTGTCACCCCAGAACTTTTTCCATTATCCGAATACTTTTAAGAAATTAATACTTTTTGCCTCTGCTTGTAATTTGTGTGATTCACAGTCATCTGCTTATATAATTTTTTTTCACTTTCTGAGTTATGGGGTATTAAATTTATATCAAGAAAACAGATAAACCTTGTTTACAGAAGTCATTCTCCTGGAATTATGTGTGTTAATCGGATGCCATTCTGCCTGTAGGTTTTTCAACTTAAGTGTCTTCTCATGTAAGGACACTTCATTGTTACTTTTCATTTCCCTCCCATGTGTCTAGGCAGTGGAAGAGTTCCTGGGTGAAGTGCGGAGCAGAGAGCAGCCACGCAGTGCCGGGCTCGTCTCCCAGCCAACAGCTGTGAAGTTTCTTATGGCCCGCAAATTTGATGTCTCCAGAGCTGTTGACCTCTTCCAGGCGTACAAGGTACTGCAGCAGTCTAAACTGACATCCCAGCTGAAAAGACCTACAGATTCTTACAGATCTGATAATTATGTGTTAATGACTAAGGCATATTTAATATGAGGAGATTTATCTATGTCTTTAAAGCATATACTAGTTCTTGAATTTATTTTAAGTGCTTGGACTTCCTTAAATCATAATCTTACTCAACAAATGTTTGGAAATCAATCTTAAATTCAATTTTTACTACATAATACTCAGAAAGACACATGGACATTTTGGCAGCAACAGACATGTTCTGTGCTTTTGTTAAGGAATTCACTAAATCACAATGTACCAAAGTTGGTGTGTAGTCACATGAGGTTGAACGGTCATGAGCTCAAGAGCTGTGAAAGAAAGTCAGGAATTTTTTTATAGCAGAACAGCAAACATCAGTGTTTGTGCGTTGGGCTCCAGGCAAATGGGGTTTTGTCTGCATCTGTGCATAATAGGTACACAGAGAAATTCCAATTAAGTCAGTTTTGCTTAACAGTTTTCCTGGAAAAGAAGTATCAAGTCAGGTTCGCATTTAACAGTTTGTTTTTCAGTACAGAGTTTGCCTGTTTGTGCGATAGTTTTCTTCCTGTGTTCTCATTTCCTCCCACAATAAAAACACTGTTGGTTTAACTGGATACTCTTAATTGAGGATATGTATATATGCCAGTGTGAATGATGTTTCTGCCCCTAAATTTGACTTTGTGATAGACTGAAGTTCTTGTTGATACCTGCTGAGTTTGGCACCATCTCTCTCACAACCCTGAATAGAGCTGAGCAGTAAGAGACATATTCATGAATTTAGCAATAATATGTTTATATTTGCTCCTTTTAGGGAGCAATAATATGTTTATATTTGCTCCTTTGCTCCAACATCATCTATATAAATTCAGTTTATTGTGTCAGCTTAGCATTTCAAATTGAATTGATACTAAAAATCATGAGTAAAAATTTGTTGTTTTTTTTTTTTTTTACCTTTCAACAAGTAAGTTAAAATGATCAATTAATGAATTAACAGTTAATTCCATGTTTTTTGGCTCTGTTAAGCATCTGCCTGCTGACTGACTGAATATTTATCATCTCCACTGTCTGTCAATATTAGAACACAAGAATCAAAGAGGGCATCATCAATATCAACCCTGACGAGGAGCCTCTTCGCTCTGAGCTGCTGAGTGGTAAATTCACAGTCCTGGTGAGTTCAGTTGTCTTTAACACATTTACAGAAAAGAGCTACTGGTTATTGTTTAGTAGAAACATCTAAATCGTTATCATTTTGGGGTTATTTATGCAAGGAAATACATAAACCTTCTCATGTTTTTTATGGTTTAATCACTAATGTGCCCTCTCAAACACCAAGTAAGAACTTTCATTGGTGCAGCGTATATGACTTCCTGTCTGTTTTTACCAGCCCGGCCGCGATGCTAAAGGTGCTGCTCTAGCCCTCTTCACAGCTCGCCTTCATCGGCCAGATGTCACTACCCACAAGGCTGTGCTTCAGGCCATTATCTATCAACTGGATAAAGCCATAGAGAGGTGATGCCTGAACCATTCTGTATTTGTACAAACTGTTGCTGTTGTTTACCTCTGTTGGTTGTTTCTTACAAAGCTTGAGACAATTTAGGTTTTGTATTAAACAAATCACAGTCTAAATTACAGTCTAAATTAAAGTACTGGAACAGTTTCTGTCTATCAATTATCTGCTATTTTCTCGTCAAAGAGATTGACTTTTTGTAACTAATTATTTAGCTTTAGTCCAGTTATTTCTGAAAGTGCAGTTATTGTCTAAAAGAAGACAGGAGGGTGAGGAGTTTTTACAATATTACCAAGAGAGAATTTGGTCAATAATGTTGGTACCTGGGGCTCCAAATTCACCCATGAGAAAACTGCAGACCTGTAAATACAGATTAAGATATAACACACAATAGATGAGGTAACTTGATCCTGCTAAGGTGTAAGCATAGTTAAGACTACGTTAAGCCAACTGTTCAAGGAAATGTTATAATATATTTGAAGAATGCTGTCCTGTGTAAATGTTGACAGTATGTTGGAAGTGTAGGTCGTTTGTGTGGTTTATTAATACTTTATTTCCACGTTTCACAACATGTTTTTTTTTTCTTCTTTGGTACGTCTTGATTTACAGTTTACAAACTCAAAGAGATGGACTCATATTCATATATGACATGACCAACTCCAGCTACAGCAATTTTGACTACGAGCTGTGCGTCAAGATTCTTAATTTGCTCAAGGTCAGTATCTGAAACATTGTTGTGCACTTTCTTAGTTCAGTGTCACAATAAAATGTTCGACACAGTAGAATTTGTATCAGACTTATTTGTGTCAGGTTTATGATAATGACATTTGCCAGGTATAGAATATATAAGCTCTACAACATTTGGTGTGTGGGTGCATTGTAATAAAATACAATTAGAAATAAAAAGCCTCAGATGTAAATAATAACAATAATAGGTCCAAATCTCATCTTCCATCCCAGACGATTCAAGAGCAAGGTCAAAATCTCCACTGAATAGTAAAAAAGGGTCATTCTATTTTATGATCTTATGGCAGTTGGCTTTATTTGCATCAAAGCAGAGATCAAAGTCTAGCCGGGCTCTTGACTTAGCAGCCAACTTAGTTCTCATCCTGACAGTAGTTTGAGAAAAAAAAGGAATATTAACCAGGAGTAAAGACAGCATTGCTTTAATACGTCTTCAGCAGTCAACTGGTAGACATGCACAGTTCGTACTCATTTTGCACAGGAAAATTATTAAAACTACAAATTTCTATAGTATCATTATATCTGCTAGGTAGATAGGGTTTGGTTTGTTCATTTTTAACGGGTGAATACAATTTTACTTTGTACACTAGTTCATATAAATGACAATAAAAATATCTCGTCTATTTTAGTAAGACAAATGGCTTAAAACAGCTGTGCAATACCATGTACTTTGTGGAACGTGCCCTTCTATCAGCTGTAAAGACAAATATGTATATATATATACATGCATAATATATAAAATCTGATATGTTGTTAGGATGTTTAAATCAATCCTCTCTCTGTTTCAGGGTGCTTTTCCAGCACGTCTAAAATGCGTCTTCATTGTGTCCTCACCTCTCTGGTTTCGGGCACCGTTTGCAGTCCTCCGTTTGTTTGTGCGTGAGAAGCTGAGAGAACGGGTAAGTTTGGTCATTTTCATCAGAGTAACAAAATAACAGAACAGACAAAAAAATCATTGTTTCTCTATATCCAAAATTTCAGGTGTGCACAGTAAAAGCTCATGAGTTGGTGAATCACATCCCAGTCTCCTCACTTCCTGAACACCTGGGTGGGACATCCCAGTACAGCCACGTGGCTTGGATCCAGTCATGTGTTAATGTTCAAACCAACACTGTCCAGGGGGACACACCAGAACAGGACACACATGACTGTGTGGGATGCCTGCTACGCTCTTACACCTTAGAGTGCAGCAACACAAGCGCAGGCACAACACTGTCCCATACCCATATAAATACACAGCTAGGTAGCGAGTTAGCCATCGCTAACTCCAACTGCTATGATGACGATAATGCTAACCCACAGAACCACTGTACTGTGGTGGATGGCAGGACTCGAGGCCTAGGCCAGTATCAGCAGAGCCCACATTCTGGAACAAACAGACTGCAGGGAAAACACCAACACTGGAACGGCTCAACTGTGAGCGAAGCCAACACGTCAGCCGTCAGTGGCCCCAGTCTTAATGCTAACATGAATGGTCGTGGCCACCAGGTTCCCCCTCAGTCAAGCACGCCACCAGACACGCCGCTTTCTCAGAAAGGTGATGGCGACGTGGTGGACGGCAAGGAGACAAACTCCGTCCGTAGACCTCAGAGCGACGGTGTCGAATGCGGGGGTGAGGAGGTCGTTGAAGAAGGAGTAGGAGTGCCACCGTTACCACAAAAATCTCTGCCTCGTCAACCACACCAACCTTACTCTCAGTTCCCGGGCTTATCTTCATCATGTGATCCCGATGATGCAGAACGATACATGGACATGTCTGTTCACATGCCTGAGGAGGGCGGCATGACGGTGCAAGAGCTGGTGGAATATGTGAAGAGAAAGAAGAAAAAGGGGATTTATCAGGAGTACGAGGACATCCGCAAGGAGCCACCTGCAGGCAGCTTTGATTACTCCAAGTAAGAGACAAAGAAATGTTCTGTCCTCCCCAGTCACTTTATGCAGTGACAGAAAACACATGACCTGACTTTTAATCTGCTGTTTCTGCCGTGTTTCTTCAGGAAACTGTCCAATCAGATAAAGAACAGGTACAGCGATGTTCTCTGTCTGGACCATTCACGGGTGAGACTGTGCCAGCTCTCTGATGATGAGGATGAGGTAATATTACATCTGAAAATCTTCCTTCTAAAATCTGGGTTTCACAATAAATCTTCACATCAAACTAAAAACAAAGCTGCTTGAAAGAAATGGCTAAAGTTTTCAAGTCACTCAGGTTGTTTTATTTAAATGTTGCTCCATATTGTGCTGAAAGGTTTCTGGAGAGGTTCTGAACGATATCGCCAAAATATGTTGTAAAAAAAGCAATTGAAAATCATTGAACTTATCTCCCTTTTTATCATTTAAAACAGATGCAAAAATATGAATTCACCAACAACAAAGTCTAGTCGTGCTCATCTGCAAATTTTTGAGAAATGAAGACAGCTCTTAGCCATTTTAAACGAAAACATGATTTCTCTTTTTTTAACCATAATTATAAAGCCTTTACTTTTACATTTATAATCAGTGCTAAGCTGCTACGTGGCTTGAGTTGCAGGTTTTACACTGAAACAAAAGTGGAAGTTTACAATGTGATGGAGCTGTTATTCTGCTGATCAGTCAAAACTGGCCTAGATGGATTCTTTTGTTTTCATTAGATTAACACTGCAAAAAATGTAGTCGATACATGCTCGAATGTTACACTGTAGTGTGTTGCAAAAGGATATATAGAGTGGCATAAAAAATAAAAGGTAAAGGGACAGAATTAAAGAAACAGTGAGGCTTTGTGATACAGTCGTGTGTTGACTTCATCTAGATTGTTGTGATGGACATTTCTTGGTGTTTCTGTCTTGACTACTGTATTTTACAATCAAAGAGGTCACTTCACTTCAGGTGTTCCACTTAATAGATTACATTCTTACACCACATACCTGTTTATTTGCAGACATCGGATTACATTAATGCCAGTTTCATGGATGGGTACAAGAGAGGCAATGCCTACATTGCAACTCAGGGTGAGAAGCTGTTTAAAACATTAAGGTTTATATGCAACATGTTTTATGTATTTGTTTTTCAACATTATACTGTTCCCTGTGAATAACAATATGATACTGGTCTGCTTTAACACTAGCATCACTTGTGTTTTGTCCCCTCTAGGTCCACTGCCAAAAACGTTTTGTGACTTCTGGCGTATGGTGTGGGAACAAATGGTACTTATTATTGTCATGACCACCAGGTGAGGGAACCGTCAGTGCAGGACTGACACTGTGGGAGCAATTCCTGACTTAATACTGAAATGGTGACCACAACAGTTTCTGTGGACCTGTTTACAAATGCACACGTAGATAGTGTGTGCATGTGAATGATGGCATTAGGTGGTGGTTTGACTGGCGGTTGTACGTGTTTTGATTCTCACAGGGTGGTGGAGCGTGGACGGGTCAAGTGTGGTCAGTACTGGCCCCTTGAGGAGGGCAGGACAGAGCAGTATGGATATTTTTTAGTCAGGAACACACAAATCCAGGTTTTCCAGGACTTTAAAGTCTCCCTTCTTGAACTTTACAACACCCAGGTGAGACCACATTGAACCGCATGTTTTTCCCTCTAATATTTGTCTTCAAATTGATTATTTAATCTGACTGAATGTTCTGCCCTAGTCTGGAGAGAGCAGGGAGGTGTGTCACTACCTCTATGTCAGCTGGCCCGACTTTGGGGTGCCCAAAAGTGCCTCTGCAATGCTGGACTTCCGTGAGCATGTACTTCAGAGGAGGAAAGATGCGGTCCAAAGACTGGGGTCTGGTTGGACAGGCCCTCCGGGAGGCCCTCCTGTGGTTGTGCACTGCAGTGCAGGCATCGGCCGCACAGGTAATTTAAAAGTTCCAGAAAACTTCAGATGAATGAGAAACTGTTATATTTATGCGTTGGAAAGGGTGAATGATGTTTAGTTTGAATATATGAGGAAAGTGAATAAATCAGTTCAGTTCATAAATCATTTCCACTCTGCCTACGGCCTGTTGAGGAGATAAAGACTGTTTAATATTCCTAGGATTATTCTTGTATTTGAGTCCTGCTATGCCGTGTGTCAGTTACATTTTTGGTTTTATTGTAAAGCCAGTCCTCTATGTTTACTACTTTACTACTATTAGAGTGCATGAAAGTCTGATCTCTTTTCAATGTACAGGTACCTTCTGTACACTGGACATTTGTCTGTCCCGGCTGGAGGACATTGGCACAGTGGATGTCTGTCAGACAGTGCGACGGATGCGTACACAGAGGGCTTTCAGCATCCAGACATGGGACCAGTACTACTTCTGCTACACTGCAGTCATCGAGTACGCCCAGCGCCATGGAAAACTGAGCCCAGTGCAGTGGTCTGACTCGGACATAGAGACTGACAGTGAATAAGAGTCACACGTAGGTCTAAATTCACGGCAGTGGGAGAGCCAAGCTATGCTGAAAATAGGAATGAAAGGCAAAGGAGTGGCTTTCCACAGTCAGGAGACCTGACTGCTGGGCAGAAGAGACAAAGGATGGACGTCTTGTTTTGGCTCCTGATGTAACGATGCACACTCCCACAGTTGCACTTCCTTTACACCCGTGAATAGATGGGGGAGTTAAAGAGCTGTGGGAGGAAAACAGGGAGTGTTCTGTTGCGTCACTGAGAGTGCAAACTGTCCTGCAAATGTGCAAACCTATTTTCATTTGGCAAACTTCAGTGGGACTTGGCCTGCCCTGAACCTTGTTGACCAGAGGGTTGTACGAGTTGTAGCATTTTTATATTGACTTGCACATGAGGAATGAGACACTTGAACCATGCCCGTTAGAGTCCTCCAAACCTCCACTTTTCTTTTCGTATTTCATGTTCCTTTTCAGCCTCACAGCAGTCAGTGTTCACACTTCAAATGTCCGGCTGTGAAAAGGTGAAACTTGAAAACTCTTATTTTTCCTCTTGTGTGTTAACTTTTTTTTTTCTAGGAGGAAATGGTCATAAGTTTTAGTGATGATCAGTATGTGAGCCATTTGGTCCATTTCAGTTTTTTCTTTTATTTCCTTTTATATTTTTATGGTGCATTTTCTACATATGTTCCATGTTTGTGCATATGGAGACTAACCTTTTAAGCCAAAGTCCTCTCCCGAATGCTTGGATGTACTCATTGGTGAAATATTATAGACTGAAGCCCGTGTAATTTCTTGTAACATACATTTATATATTGGTGTGCATTATAACACAACCTCTGGAAAAGGCAAAAAATGTCATTTATTTGAGTTAACCTTAAAAAGACTTATCTATGTAGTAAGCCAGGCTATGACAAAGTACTGAAAAGATATCAAAATGCAAATCTGTGATTTGTCAGGTCTAAACCCCTCTACTCCCCCGGCCCCCAGCCCTGTGTTTTGATTGGACTTTCCTCAGTACATGGGCCTTAACTCGATTCACTGCCTTGTTCTCAGATTTTAACCATACCTGCAACTTCAGACTGTGTTATTTCCCCATGTCTTCTTCTCTTGTTAGAAATCTTACTTTATTGTTGTTTGATATTGAGGTGTTCAGCCTCAGATAATTGTGCCTTCAAGTTTCCTTAGGTCAATGTCTCACTCGTATAGTAATAACACCCAAGTGTGCACTGGCATAGTATACGTATGTTGACTATGTGCCACACAGGACACCCATCCTGCCTACGGTCCAGTACATCGTACACTACTTCTAAATAATGTTACAGTAGTGAGTTATATGGGACTAAGCTCTATCCTGAGACATGGCTATTCTTGTATCATTTGTCCTCAGGGGGTAATTCTAGTGTTTTTTGCCCAGTGTCACAGATCCATTTCTGGGTTTGCCTCTGGTAAATTATCATTTAAAGAAAAAAAGCTATATCAACCTTATTTTGTATTTTTTACTGTATTGTATCCTATAATATTTATGTCTTTGTAGAACCTAAAACGATATTGAAATCAGTGAATGTCGGTACATTGTTACAACTAGTTATTTCATTGGATAAGCTGAACAAATCAGATGGGGAGTGAAGTATGTGTAAATATATAAGTACATGTACATATATATCTACATGCATGTATATATGTATGTATATATTTATACATATATTCATATGCGTGTACGTGTATATGTGTACATAAGTCAAATATAAATATATACATGTATATGTGCATATACATATATATACACATATGTTCCTAATACGTATATATGTACATATACTGTACATTACTGTACATGTACATTTATATGTTGTTCACAAAGAATCCATCTCTTGCCACTGTATTTTCAGAACTGACTTGTATAAATGGTAATTGTTCATTCTAGAACAATAGTGAAGTGGTGTTGTTTTTACAGTTTTTTTTTGTCCATCTTCTCAGTTAAACTGACATAAATGTCTTACTGTCTATTCACAATGCCAAGGATAAAGAAAAAAAATTCAATATGAGTGAAATCGTAAATAGGACAAGAAACAAGTCTTTCTTTTCCCAAAAAATGTGGTTGTAATCTAATTAAAAAAAATCAAAAAAAGATTAGTTTTTACCAGCATGTTGAGAGAGCCTTGAATGTTTTCAGGTAATGATGTCCAAGCAGTTTTGTCAAGAAAAATATGGATGTTTTGGTGAATGTGGTCCCTGCACCCCTACTTGCCAAAGGCCCAGGTTCGTCCTGAAGATGTTTTACTGTCACACGCCCATTAGCATGGTTTTATCAGTGCAGCCAGACTCTGGAGCAGGTAGACACATTCACCTAGGATAATGTATTGCTCCACAATAAGCTTTGAGTCTTGGTCCCTTTGCTGTTTTCTTTTCTTTTTTTTTTATGAGAAAAAGAACACAATGTGCATTTGTCATTGCTGTTGATTTCATGTTTATTTTTGGTCATCTAAATTGTTAGGATTGAATTACGGCCTTTTACATGCTGTCAGCCCAGCTGTCCCATTAAAGCAATGGTATTACTATCTTTCATGTGTACAAAGTAGAAGTTCTGTCTATTTGACTCGGATAAAGTGATGCACATGCTGCCCATTTAATAGTCTTGGTTGACAACTAAAACAATCTGGGAGGAAGAAAACGAGTTCAGTGTGCACTCTGGATTCTTTCAGTGAATTTTAGGTGATAGCAGTTCTCAGAGCCACCAAAGAGTGGCACTGTGCTCTAAAAATTCCTGAACACCACTGCAGTATGAAGCCTAGCGAGTTGTATTCTTTTTACATACCATACCATATGTGACCCATAATCAAAAGGCCCAAAATATTTTTTAGGTATGAAACAAGCACAACAGCCTCTTAAGGAATGTTATTTTTATTATTAAATTTAAAGTTAAATTACATTTTTAAAAATGACCTTTTAAATTCCTACATTCTTAATGGGTGCTCACTTTAACAGTTTGCTGTGGACAATGACTTTATACCTTTTCTATAGAATGACAACAAATGAACATTATGGTGTGGTAATGTACCTTTTAATCATTCTTTAAGGTCAGCTAGTCCAGTCAGTTGAACATATCCACAGATTGAGAAAGAAGCCGTGGTTAGTAACCACAGGGATGAAGCAGCTTAATAATCTTTGGACTATTTTGAACGCATGTCAAGAGTCTGGTGGAGGCAGGATTCATACGTGAAAAAAGACAAGACGTTTGAGCTCAGACCCTTCACTGGAGTTGTACACAGTTCTGTTTAAAGTTACATTATAAAAACACTATAGTATGAGGTTGTTCATTAAAGGATTCCAGCTGATTCCCTCTGAATCATTTACAGACTGTGTCACTGATTATAAGTTAAACAGTCATTTTCACATTTCTGTTGTTTGCACGGTAAACTCCGTCCTCAGTCCATCACCTTCTAATGTGGTTCTTCTGAAATGAGTTGGGGTATGGTTTCTCAGCAAGGGAGCAGGAGGCGCAGCACACACTTCTGTAGTAGGTGTACACACAGAGTCTGGCTTGAACCACCACCACACAGTTATTATACTGGTCGCTGCACGATGGACCTGGAATTAAAAAAAAATGTGGTTAACAAAGGATAGAAACCTCTCGGGGAGGAATCAACAGTGGTTGACATGTTTTTTTTTAATGGTTTAGAAATGTTAGAGAACAGTTAACAGGAACAGAGTTACTGCCATTTTATGCCTGTAACTTACTTATTTCAGCCAGACACGGTTGTTTATTGCATTCTTCTCGACTCTCTGGGGTTAAATTTGGGTCACAGTGGTCGCTGGGGGCAATATTGTCAGCAAGACATCGAACCTCTCGAACACGGTAGCCACCGTTACAGGAACCTGAACACTGAGGGGACGTGGAAAGAGAACGAGCATTTGATGAATTTGCTTGATGAACTATATTTGAGAGCAGGCCACATCCTCTGTAGTAAAGGGAGTGAAGCCACAGGTTTGAAGGCTTTTTATGAGCTCATAGCTTATAAAGTGAAATGTTAAATGTATGTATTTGCATAAATTATATACGTGCATTTTGGTAGCCGAGTGTGTACGAGATTAATGAGACATGAAGACACTTACTGCACTCCACTCTGTCACATACCACTGGACACCACAGGGCTTTAGGCTGCAGGTCTGAGCTGTCATTGGCTGAGGGAGACTTAAACATTTAGATTTGTCTACGACCTCCATGTGACCGTTGTTGTTGATCATACAAACCAGATTGCGGGTTTGTGTGCCATTTCCACACTCTGCAGAACACTGAAAGAAGACACATTTAACAAGTGAAGCCATCACTAAAATGACACTTGTGTTGTGTCTGTGAGTATACAGCATTAGTAATACCTGACCCCACGGTCCTGTGTACCACTCTATCCTGTTTCTGCACGGCCCTGAATCACAAGACGTCTCTTCTGCAGGGCGTTCTCCTTCACAGCTGTCCAGTGGAAGGTCAGTCACGTGATCCATCAGGCACACAGCAGTCCTGGTTTTGTTGCCTTTACCACACTCTGCAGAGCACTGAGGATTATCACACACACACACACACACACACACGCACTATGAAGTTCAAATGTACACCTGTTTTTTTAAATTCTGTATGAAGAGTTTCTGTGTTACCCCTTGGCTCCACAGGGAGGTGAACCAGCTGCGGGCACATGCTCCCATGTCACAGTTCTGCAGTGTGTCTGGCTTCAGGTTTTTGTTACACTCCTCGTCCTTCTCCACATCACCCTGGTTACTCACACACACCACCTCTCTGCTGCGTTGGCCCACACCACAGGGCACTGAACACTTTTTGTGGAAAAGAAAAAAAAATCATTTTGAAAATAAATTATTATTTATTTGGTGTTGTAAATGTCCACACATTACCTATTTCTTTACAACTAAGATCAGAATTTACAAAATTGAACTATTCCAGTAGGGTGTTCAAATAACAACATCTGTATCCTGTGTATTTGAGCAGTGCTTGTTTAGTTGTAGGCTGTGCTGATATACTGGCAGGAATTGAAGAAAGACACTCAAAGATCTTCTTCAACAGCTCTGATTCTCTTTTTCATAGCCATGTGCTGCCACCTAGCAGAAGATAATTTAATTGCTCTGCCTGTCACATATTGACGAACAAAGAAAGTTTTTTAGCAATAAATAAATAATAGTTTTTGGACCAATTAGTTGAAATTGGAAAATGTTCCGCGGCTCACCACAACGATCTCTCTCGGCACACTGGTGTAGTATCATCTGACTGATTTCTAACTTAATTCCTGTGGTCGACATATGTGGTCAAGTGTGTGTGTGTGTTAATTTGTGTGTGTGTGTGTGTGTGTGTGTTACTGCTTTTGTGTTCTCACAGAGCTCCACTCTGATCGGATCTCCCATTGGCTGCATATTTTTAGCTGACAGGTTGACTTGGTGACTGGTTTTTCAGATGAGCCACACAGTTCTGGTGCCACAGTGATGGACGACTCTGTCCCATTACTGTGGACTTGTGTGACCTGACGACAGATGATCTGGCGGTGCTGAGTTCCAGGCCCACATTTAGTGCTGCAGTCTGACCACTCCCCTACATCCCAGCTGTGGGTCAGTCACAGGAAACAGAGAGATGTAGGTATAGGTTATGTAACAGGGTTACGTGTTTTTCTTGGTGATGTTTGAGTTCACTGTAACTCTCCTCGAGCAGACAACAAACCAGCTCTCTGACTTCATTTTGGTTGATTTTTATTTATTTATGATTTTAAACATCTCATGCAAGAATTTCTTTAGGTTTAAAAAAATAGAAGTCTTTAGTCTTTCCCTTAAAAATTGAGAGAAGCACACAGTGAAGTTGTGAGCTGTAGAAGTTAAGCAGTCCTACAGTCAGATGATCAAGCGTCTGTGTGTGTGTGTGTGTGTTTCTCACTATGCGGGGCAGGCCTGGTTGTTGCAGTCTTCTTTCTTTAATGATGGTTTAAGGGCAGCATCACAGAGGTCAGCAGACACCATGGCCTGTGTGTCCCCGTTAACACAGTCCCAGAGCAAATGACGGCTGCCTGGCAAAGGTGCACAAACACACACAAACACAACAAAGTTGACAAGTCAACACATGTTGAAGGACTCCAGGGACATTTGGACAGTCGTCATAACAAGTTGTTCAGTGTTTGATTGAGGGTTTATTTCTGCCTGGACCATTTTCTCACCATTACCACAGGTTCTACTGCACTCTGTGTGTCCACCCATTGTCCAGGTGTAAGTTGGCTGAGGTTGAGGGGTCACACTGGGTTCAGGGGGGACCTGATTGGTAGAGGGTGTCTCCTTGGCGATGTCATTGTCAGTGATGTCATCTTTCTTACTTGGATTAGATGGTTTTACAGTCCCTACGTCAAGACAGATAAATGAGACTGATGCAGGCAGACAACAGTGTGGAGAGGTGACTTAGATGTACAGGAGAAGAAGACCCATAGTACCCTAGTACCATGTACCATTCTAATACACCATTACAAGTGAGGGGAAGGCTTTCACTGAAACAAATCAAATAAGAGATGATTTTGAAACAGGACACCAGAAGGTGTGTGTGTGTTTGGCATGTGGGCACGTGCACTTACCCAGTATGTTGGAGGAAGCGTCTGGTCCAGGGGTTGGCTGTGTGTTTTCTAATGGTACATTGTATTCATAGTACACACTTGGACCTGGCTGCTGATAGATCAACTAGAAGACAGACACAGAGGCATGACTGTTGTGTTGGATCTGTACTGATATATTATATTATATTATATTATATTATATTATATTATATTATATTATATTATATTATATTATATTATATTATATTATAGACTCATAACTGTCCAAAAAGAAGGGAATGTGGTATTTAAATACTTTGTAAAACAAACATTCCTAAAAAAAACATTTAAAAGCAAATAGAAAATAATTTTAAAAGATAATCATAATAAATTAGGCTCTGTCATATTTTAATACCTAACTGTAGACATAGACATAGAAATACTGCTGTTTGTTATTTAACTTCTCACATAAACATGCAGATCCTCCGTGAGTGGGCCAGGTGCAGTGATGGACTCTCCTTTGCGAGAACGGATTTCGTTGGGCCGTCGGTATGTCAGCTGCGTTCCCACACCCTCAAAGACTCCTGGCCTGTCAATCACCCAGTTTCCATTGACGATGGAGACCCCAGTTTGGGTCTGAAGAGCTGGAGACCAACGTAAGGTTCACTTATCACTTGAGAGAAATTACTGTTGCTACAGTGTGCATGCGTGTGTTTGCGTGTGAGTGTGTGTACCGAGGTAATTGCGGCTCTTCACTGTCTCATGAATGTTGACGTTCCGTGCTCCTAGAGGAATTTCTGTGATCTTATGGTAGCCAACACGAAGGAAAGTCCGGGAGAAATTCCCCTTCACCAGCTTAAAGCCCTGCCAGAACACAAGTTAATGCACACAAAGCCATTCACTCCGTGTCACTCCCTACATCTACGATCTGCACTAACGTCTCACCATCACAGACTTGTTTCACATGACAGTTATCCTAGATTCCAATAAAGTTGGACACCATTAATGTTCTTTTTGTCCGTCCTGTTCTCCCACTCCTGCTCACTCTGTCTTGTTGGAAATCCCAAAACCTACTCAGCCAGGTCCAACAGTTGGTTTAGATTGGAGATCTGGTGTTTTCATCATCCTTGCAGAACATTTTGTCAGATTTAATGTTCATGTCTTCTAGTCTATTCATGTTGTTTTCTTTATAATTATTACTGAGATTAGTCAGAACGACTTCAAAGATTTTGGTTTTACTTGACATTTATTGTACATCTCAATAACATGAGACTTACACGATTCTACTGCATCGTAACTGTGTCTTAATGCAGATAATATTTGCATCCTTGTGCATGTCTTACCTCCAGAGGGGATGGGCTGGCGTTGTTGTCCCAGGAAAGAGCACCTGACGGTGGGAAGAGAAGACAAATGAAATGGAGAAGAGCCAGAGCTTGACATCGCAGCAGGGAGCTGGGCTGCTGCCACAGTACAGCCATGGAGAGACTGAAGGAGGACACTCACCAACACATGTACACACACATGTTTAATGGGCAGTGTGTGTGTGTGGATGGAAGAGAGAGAGAGAGAGAGAGAGAGAGAGGGGGGTGGGTTGGCGTTTAGGGCTGGGAGGGAAAAGAGACCGCAGGAAAGAAATGTTGAGAGAAAGTGTCAGAAAAGTGTACGCACAATAATTTCAAGTCAAGGTTGTGCCTCACAATGACTGTTAGAAGTGTGTGTCTGTGTGTGTCAGTGTGTGTCTGTGTGTGTCAGTGTGAGTCCTGAAGCTGGTCCAATACCAATATCTGTGCCTGTGTATCGTCATTCAGGATTGTGAGGCTTTGGACACGCATCACTTTTGATCTCTTTTCTTTTTTGACTTCTCCACCCATTTCTTGTTCTTCACTTTTAAGTCTCATCTTATTATTTCATTTTTTCATCAGTAGAAAAAAAGACTTAAAAAATGCCGATCTGACAATACTACAGTGAGAGGAGGAATGAAGATATGATATGATGAAAATATGTTTTTTGTAGTCACTTTATCTCCTGCTGTGATGAAACATAACACAAGCTGAGTTCTATTATCCACTTTCCCTCCATCAGTCACTCACACACTACTGGAATCCATCATCATCATCTAATCCACTAACATACATTTAGGCGTGGAAATCATTTCCAATTGGGAATTTAAATCCACCATTTAGGAAGAAAAACAAAACCGCGTCACGTTAAAAACATCATTATGTAAGTATTGACGTTACCTTTTCATAAACTTGTGCGATTTGAAAACATCACAAACATATGGGTGCAATTTGTTCCTTAGCTAAAGTTCTGGGCACAGGAGTGTTTAGCTCTGCAGACACACAGTGCAGCTTGTCTGTCTGGCTCTATAACTTTCCACTCTTACATTTGGCTGTCAGGAGAGAGTGCTGCTTTAGTCTAGCAGGACTTTTTAACAGAAACCTAATGTCAGCGTTTGAAGAAATTTAAAGAGATGGAGTTTTTGATTGTACGAGATACACTAATAAACCCTGTGATCCACTGATCAAGGAAAACTGTGTGTATATATATATATAGCAATATAGTATATTATATATATATACACTATATACTATATATTACTATATACTAAGATTGTTGAGAAAAATTGTAAATAAATATATATTTACAATTTTTTTCAACAGTCTTTACCAATCTGTGTTGTCAAGTTCACCAGTTGCACAGTATTCTAAGACACTGGTTTCTAACTGTTCCTGTACTGGCAGCAACTTTAGTCCTGAGTGTGATGCTATGAAGTTCACCAGTTCAGTTCTGACCCAAACATGGACTTCATTGAAAGACTGGCGTGTACGTTCTTGTCTTCTTCTGTCTCCCTCTCTTTGGCAAAGAGCCAGATCTGAGATGCAACTCACCTGGAGCGGATCCTCCCAAGTCACAGAGCTGTGACACCGGCATTCTGGGAGTCTCCAAAAGTATGTCAAGGAATACTGGGAATTCTGTGCAAGACAGGCCTCGTTGGAGCTACACTGTCTGTTTTCCACCGTGACAGCTTAATAGCTGCCACGTCTGATCGCTTACACAAGCTGTGAGTCCCTGAGCAGCTGGAAACAGCTCCATAAGACAAGGTGGGCTCCTACAATCACATGTTCCAACATACATTACCATTACCACAGGTAGTACAGTAATACACACATTATAGCAACATTTTCAGTGTATTAGGAGCCAAATGCTAATTGTGACTAAAGATGTCATTACCGGTGTGTGGTTTGCAATAGTTTTGCTGAAAATGTAATTGTGTTCATGACAGTATATAACTCTGACCCACCTAAATCAGGGTTTCCCAGCTGCTGGGCTGCGGCACATTACATTATTACAACAAATAATATTTTTTTGTTTGTCTATTCAACAGTGACAGATGTAGCAGTTAAATACTCTTCCACTAGATGGCAGCAGATGGTTATAAAAACAATAAAAAAGGAGAATTGGAGCTGTTGAAGATCTTGATGTCTTTCTTCAATTCCTGTGAGTATTTCAACGTTGTATTCAACTAAACGGGCCAAGATTTCACACTGTGTTAGTAAATTGTGAGTACATTTAAAAGTTAATTACATTTTATTACACATGCTTTTTGGGAAGTTTTTGTTTGCTGGTGTGTCGTAAGTGTTTTTCAAAAGAAAAATATGTGCCATGGTAAAAAGGGTGTAGAAAAAAAAGGGTGTATTTTCAAAAGAAAAATATGTGCCATGGTTCAAAAAGGGTGTGGAAACACTCCTCTAAGGAGACAAGGCAAGAAGACAACACTGTACCACACACTGGGAGTTAAGAGCACTTTCAACAGAACTACAGCTTGTCATCACTCTTTCACTTCTTACCTTACTCTGAATGTGGCCTGTTTTGTTTTTCACCCAACTGTGGGCCGTTTGATGTTCCACTGTCCAGAAACCAAATGAGTGGTTCTGTCATCCTGTGACACCTGGTCTTCCCCTAACCACCAGTTACCTGTCTAACAAGTCTTTTTAACAGTGATCTTGGACACACACAGCATATTAAAATACTTGTTGTGCTCAAGTTCACCTCATGTGAATATGTATTATTGTCCCTTTATTAGCAGTATTCTCATATTTTCTATTCTCATTCCCTTCCAGGAAGTTCTGATATAAGGATGTAAATATTTTTTGTAGCTTTGCTCTGGTGGTCGGGTGCGTTTAAGTGACCATGTAAATAGTTACTGTTATTGCTTTTACAATGTAGCCACAGTGAGAGTGGTTTCGTCTAGTCATTAAAGACGCAGGCATCTGTTGAGGTATATCCAGTGGTTTTTAAGCTCAGCCCTTACTGTGCTCTAATTACAGACTTGTACAAGTGAAGAAACACAACTTTTAGCACCATAAATACACCTCTTGTCAGCTGCTGTAACTGCATACCCACAGGGTCAAGCAGTTGCAACACACAGGATGCGTTCCATTCCCCCTGTTATACATACCTGTCAAAGCACATTGAAGTACTTTTGTGTTAAGAGCATACCTTGCAGGTTTTAACAGCTAATATACGTAGAGTGGGACGTCTGCTGGTTAGTTTAGGTTCCTTCACAAGGAATCACACACACCTCCGACAGTAAATGTGCAGTAAATATGTGTTTTATAATGCTGAAAAAATTGATGGAAAGTTGAAACAGAAATACAAAGCAGGGCATTTTGACTTATTTTACCTGTTGAATCATAATTGTTAAAATTGTTAAAACTGTTAAAATATAAAATAGTGCAACATGTTGAAATCCATCTTTTTTATAAATGTTCTGAAAAATTACAACGTTTTCACTGTTTGTATGTAACTATAAAAACTATAAAAAAAACTTTGGAAATATTTTAAAATCCATATCTGGCTAATAGAGAAAAAATATACAATTATTTCCCCCAATATTGGGGAAAATAATATGGATTTTAGCTTTCTAATATAACAGTTACCACAAGAGGGCGTGTCAGGGAATAGAGAAACGGAAACAGGACGTGAGGTCACGCCAACGTACGAAATTCAAACTTGTGGTGACAGAAAAAGAATCTGTAGCGGTGCATCGTTTCATGATTGTTTACTGATTTTTTTTTTTACCTCCACCCTGTTGTTTTTATTCTCACCAGGTAACGTGTCGACTTTTCCAAAAAGTTTTCGCCACAGCGACGTGCAAGCTGTATTATTATTCACGTTAGTTAGAGTTATCTGCACTTAGCCGAGCCTCCGAGCTCTCCTGAAATAGTGAGTAGAAAGAGCAGCAGCTGGGTTCGTTTTTAACACCGCTGTTCCAAACCCGTCTCTGACCGCAGGGCTGGTGTTATCGCTCGCCTGAAGAGACGAGAATGCCCGTGGAAAGAACTGAGCTCCGTGGAACAGACGAGCTTCATAGATACTATGAGGTTTACGAGACCATCGGCTCAGGTAACGACATAAACAGTCTTCAGACCAAAGCTACAATATGACTGCGTCAGTCATCTCTGTTCTTCTTTGTGTAATATTTGTTTTTTAGGAGGCTTCGCTAAGGTCAAGCTTGGTCGACACATTCTCACTGGGGAGAATGTTGCCATTAAAATCATGAATAAGAAAGATATGGGGGTAAGTTCAACAAAAGACCAAACCAGGCCAATAATATGTTTAAAACAAAATTAAATATTTAATTATTTAAGTTTGTTTTCCCTGAGTAAAAGTTAAGAAAAATGCAATAATCAAAAATTATGCAATAGAACAAACGTTTTCCTACTCAAAATCTTAAATACTTTTAAAATTGGATAAATGACATGGTTGTTAAAAGTGCAATGATTCATCATTTAAAATATGGGATTAGACCTTTTTAACAGACATTTAAAAATACAGTGCTATTTTCACCCACTTGCATGTAAGTAAAAATGTTTTCCTTTGTTTTTTCTCCCAGGATGATCTGCCCCGGGTGAAGGTGGAAATTGAGGCTTTGAAGAATCTGAGTCATCAGCATGTCTGTCGTCTTTACCAGGTCATAGAAACTGCCACTCAGATCTTCATGGTGTTGGAGGTAATCACACGAACGAGACGAATGGTTTGACTGGTAATGTGGTAGTACAATATCACTGAACTTCTGTTCTGTTCTGTACTATTTTACACAGTACTGCCCAGGTGGGGAGTTGTTCGACTACATCATCGCCAAGGATCGTCTGTCAGAGGAGGAGACCAGGGTGTTTTTCAGACAGATCGTTTCTGCCATGGCCTACATCCACAGCCAGGGATATGCACACAGGGATCTCAAACCGGTATTTATGACTTCAATGTTACAAAACCTACAGTAATGCTGACTATCTGTTATTTTACATGAGCCAAATGTGTGATGTCACATCTGCCATTACAGGAGAACCTGCTGATTGATGAAGACCAGAACCTAAAGCTTATAGACTTTGGTCTCTGTGCCAAACCTAAGGTACAGATTCATATTCCCTGTACATCTGTAAACCTGTAAGGAATTTTCCTAGAAACTAAAAAGTACAATATTTATCATTTTTGTATTCTAGTAACATTTCCAGTCATTCTTAAAAAGGCAACAACAAAAGAAAAGAAATTCTATTCCTCCTGATTATTAGTTATTTAAATAATACATAAAGAAAAGTTTCTTTTTTGCATATTTTAAGTGTGGCTTTGGAAACTGTCTCTTAAGAACCTTGATTAGTTTACATTTATTTAAAGATAACTAATTTTTAACCACCCTGTCTATAAGCCTGGGGTTATTTGGCAGCAGCAACACATCTGTCCACCAGAGTGCGCTCTAATTACTCTTATAGTTACTATATCCAGCGCATAAACGTGATCATGTATTTTAAGAATTATCGGTGATGATGCCTCAGTATCTACGTTTTTTTCCAACTGTAACCAAAACAATCCTCACAATCTAGTGTAACTCAGGCTCCAGTGTTAACTATTTAATTAACATTTTGTCATTTATATATTCTGTGGTAATCTCCCCCCCACCCCTCTCTCTCTACACACACACAGGGTGGTCTTGGTTCCGAATTGATGACATGTTGTGGAAGCCCCGCGTACGCCGCCCCAGAACTCATCCAGGGAAAAGCATACATTGGTTCAGAGGTGAGCGATAACAGCCGAGGTTGCATTTACAACTTCCAGAACCACCGAGGTTGCAATTTCAAGATTGGCCTTATTTAAACCCACAAAGCATATGTTCCACAAACCTCCTTCTTCATGGTTTCCTGATCAAACCCAGTGGTGCATGACTCTGTGCTACGGAGCTTTAAAATCCTGGCTGTTTCACAGAAAGTTAAACTCTTGCTGTGTGATGTGTGACCTCCAGGCAGATGTTTGGAGTATGGGTGTGCTCCTCTTCGCTCTGCTCTGTGGATACCTGCCTTTTGATGACGAGAACTGCATGGCCCTCTACAGGAAGATTACGGTAAGAAGGTTTTATTGTCACCGACCGTTTAGTCTGACACAGTAGGTACAGCCTCAGGCCACGTGATTCCCTGTGACTCTCCCTCAGAGTCAGGCGCTATGAGTGGACACAAAATGTGCTGCAAATGTGCCATAAAAGAACAAATGCTGCAGAATCTTTTGAGAGAACGTATCATTAAAGCAAATGTTTTGATTTGTTTTATGTTCAGAGAGGGAAATACGACAATCCCACATGGCTCACTCCAGGCAGCGTCCTCCTCATCAACCAGATGATGCAGGTCGGTCCTCACTCGTCCAGGTTTCTACATTTGGCATTAAGTTCTACTTATTTTTCAGTAATTGGTCATATTAATTCAACAATTTTAAAGACATTTCTCTGACTCTGACGTGTAGACATATTACACCGTGAACGCGCGGATGTTCTGGGGCCGCTAATTGGTGGCGTGTGTAAAGTGAAATGTGTCGTCTGTTGTCCACTGAGGTGTAGATTCCCTTTGTGTCCTGTAGGTGAACCCCAAGCGACGTCTTGCTGTTCGACAGCTGCTGGATCATCCCTGGGTGATGAAAGACTACAACAGCCCGGTGGAGTGGTACAGCAGGCGGCCGGTAGGCGCGGAGAATGATTAAGATTTCATTTACTGCAATTAGGCCGTTAAACAGCTTCTTAAATTCTAAATTTAATAATGTAGGACTCGACTGTATATATATATTTGTGTCTTTGGGTCAGTAATGAGTAGCTGTCTTGGGTTTCATGTGGTCTGTTTTCTTTTTGTAGCTGGGTCACATCGATGAAGACTGTATCACTGAGATGGCAGTCAGCATGAAGCGGTCAAGAGAGAGCACCACATCACTGGTGAAGGAGGTGAGTCATTTAGTAGCTCATGCAGGGTTACCATCTAAATGAAGCCACAATATGACCAATCAGGATAAAGGCCATAGTTGGGTCTTCTAGGTCAATGCATGCTACGTTTAAACTTAATTCATTAATGCTCAGCACAGCCTCTGTTAGATTCCCTGCCTAATATAATGTATGTCACCCTCCCCTCCCACCCCCAGTGGCGATACGACCACACCACTGCCACCTACCTGCTGCTGCTGTCAAAGAAACAGAGGGGAAAGCCTGTCCGCCTGCGTCCTCAACCTGCCGTCTGTGAGGAATTCTGCTCTCCTTCACATCAGGGATCGAAGGTTGGAGTCGACCCTGAAAATTCTACAATGCCATGCTATGCTAGCTGGTGTCTTTTTCCTCACGGTTTTTAAATACGAGTAATGAGATAAGTATAATTTTTGTTCTGTCTCCTTATTTAGATGAGAGAAGCTCTTCATTTTAGTGAGGATGAAGATGCTGTGATTGTGGGTTCGTTGGACTTTTACTCAGAGTACATTGATGATTGTCCTTGGCCGTCAGTCGCTCACCATCAGTCCCCAGGGGTCAGAGGTCAGCCAGACAGAGTGCCAAATGAAAAAGACAAGGTTTGCAGTTTTTTTTTTTTTAATTATCTGTTCATGTCTGTTTTAACAGCAGCAGAATTAGATCAGATAGATTGTTACTTACACAACATTTTGTCCACTTCTTCTTATAGAAACTGGTGTCTCCATCAGTGGAGAAAAGATCTGTTTACAGTCCAACACGGGACAGGGGGCGGAAGGCTACACCCCACCGACCGGAGAGGAGGGACAAAGACCGTGAACATGCCACTGAAAACAAAGAGAATCTTGTGACTCAGGAGAAGGACATTGACATTTTCGCTCTGCCTCCTCCTCGTACCCCAGTGTCTTCTAGGAAGAATCCTCGACACAACAAGAATGTGTTGACCACACCCAGTCACAACACCAACATCAGTGGAGGCAAAATGAGTGCAGTCTCTCCCAAAGGTAATCAAACCTGCTTTAATACATGGTCTGAATTTATGCAGTAATTGTTTTTGTGTCAACAAAAAAATGTGGCAGTAAATCAGAGTTTTGATGAGTTGCACTTACCTTTTTTTTTAATGCATCTGTCCCTTTTTCCCCCTCTGTTCCCTGCAGCTCTCATAATCACTAGTGTCACATCCACATGCCTCACATTAGCGAGTAAATTGTCTTTGGTCAATAAACGAAATCACAGCTACTCATTCATATTTCTGTGATTCAAATGTCATTACGTCCCCGAAAGTGGACGTGCACACTTATCACTGTCAACTCAAAGGTGAGGTTATTATCAGGACAGGTAATTCTGCCCACTTATCTTTAAATGAGGAACACTAATTTGACTGGAGAATCATTAAAAGCCTAATTATTTGTCAAACTGACTCGACCTCTCAGGTGTTAGATTCCATTACAAACTCAGTCATAAGGTGACTGACACACTCAACTCAGACTGTTGGTGGCAGACTGTCCATCGCTGGTCACTGCCTCTCTCTCTCTTTCTCTCTCTCTCCCCACTTTACGGCTTCCTACACCTCGGCGCACACGCACTCTCTGACATCCTTGTCCTCGCAGCAGCACTGTGGTCTGTGTGTGACTGTCCCCAGGCGTTTGCTGTGACAGGTGTAGCCGTCTCTTTCCTCTGCTCTCTGTCCCACGTGGGCTGTAGTGACATGTGTTCTCCCGCCACAGAAGTGTATCCTTTTGTGTTTTTGCACGTGTGTGTGTGACAGAGAGAGAGAGAGAGAAAGGACTTGTCTTTGAAGACCATTCTTTGTGTTCATCCATTCATACGAGCAAAGTGCTGCACTGGTTACTTTTCCACTGTTATATTTTTATTATTCAGAAGTGCAGAGGTTGCAGAAATCATTTGTGTCTTGCAGGTGGAGGCAGTGGCTCCAGAGAACACAACAAGAAGAGAACGGCAGAGAACAAGGAGCCTGTGAACACTGACATGCTGCCCTTCAGTCCTGAGAGGAGGTGAGTGACCTGTGGAATGAGGAGAGGCTTCCAGGTGATGGGATTACATGGAACAGAAAATAGTTTACTCAACACTAGCTAAGATAAACGTTTAGCTCTAGCCATTAACTTGGAGAAAAGCAAATGTCTGTGCAAACACAAATACATAACATAAATACATTAAATGTGAGAATCAAGAGCACCAAGCACAAAAACAATCAGATCACAAAAGCTGTGCTTATTTAAGCTTAATCTGCATAAACTGCAACCAAGATAGTTTGAAACGTGTGAAAATAAGGGCTGTTGGAATTTCTTCTCCAGATCTCGCTCTTTAGACATGGCTGGATCAGGTGACAGTGGAAAGAAGAAGAGAGGAGGAAAAGTTTTTGGCTCTCTGGAACGAGGTCTGGATAAGGTCATCACCATGCTCACTCCCAACAAGAAACGTGGCCTGCGTGACGGCCCCCGCAAGATCAAGGTGCCCTGATCTCACGTACTTGACTGTATTGACTAACAACGACTAAATCTATCTTTAACCAATCAGTACTCACTGCGTTTTGTCTGGTAGAGATGTTCTGATCAGCGTCTGTCCCCCTGTAGGCTCAGTACAACGTGACCCTGACGAGTCAGACGAACCCGGACCAGGTTCTCAACCAGATCCTCTCCATACTGCCCGAGAAGCACGTGGACTTCACACAAAAAGGGTAAGAGTTCAAATCCCTCAACGTTGAACTTATTTCTTCCCGTGGTTTTAAATGCGACATCTCTGCTTTCGTACAGGTACACGCTGAAGTGTCAGACCTGGGGAGACTTCGGTAAGGTGACCATGGCGTTCGAGTTGGAGGTGTGCCTGCTGCACAGGCCGGAGGTCGTTGGAGTTCGACGGCAGAGACTAAAGGGAGACGCTTGGGTCTACAAACACCTGGTGGAGGGCATTCTGTCTACACTGAGTATCTAAACGCACTTTTCTCCTGAGCATATCACTTCCTGTTTCCATTGTAGACATTCTTAGCAATAACCCTTTCAGTCATTTATTTTAATGTATAGTTGAAATACTCCTTAGGCCAGGCTGCTCTCTCAGGAATGCATGTGATGATATATTGAATTAGTGTGATTTACATGTTGAGATCTTTTACTCTACTTCTTGTTTCATGTACAGTGTTGACGTTTTATTTTTACCATAAGCATTAAGCCGAACAGAATCATCCTCCTGGGGTGTTTGTTTTGCGTCGCCGAACAGAATCATCCTCCTGGGGTGTATTTTGCGTTGTGTTTGTGTGAGAGAAATGTTTTTTTCACTGTACCTTCTAGCTGCCTCTTTCCATATTTATGTCATCATCTTGTTGTTTTACCCCCAGCATGTACAAGACCTGATTTATTAACATAAATAAGCCAAGCACGATTTACTGTCAAGGTTTATTTTTAAATGTGTTTGTTTACAAGTCTTCCATCGTTGTCTCCATCTGTAGTTGTCTTTTCTTTGACTCTGACTTTTTCATGTTTTTCTCATGTAATATTTGTGTCTGTGAAATTTTACTGGCCATGTAAAAGGAGCAAAATAAAGATTTTCTGACGAGTGTAACAATGCAGACAGTGATGATGGAGGTGGTTCTTGATTTTTATTTGCAGATTTATGGAGCAGGATTTGACACCATCATTCATGTATTCACCTTTTAGTCAGTGTTGTTTTTTCCAAGGTGGGAAAAGATGATCATTATAATTATATATTATAATTATTGATAACTACTCTGCCAATGACGAAGTGGCAAAACATGTTGCTTAACTCTACAAAATAATAAATCAACATATGTTGCAAAAGGTATGTGCGGGAATGACTTGTCAAAGCAGAATAAATAGTTAAACATTTGCAAAAATAAAAGTATATAAATGAACAATAACATGATTTAAATTTTGCAAAAATAAAAGCTAGATGGAGTAAAATTGTACTATAGAAGTACTCCATATGTGAACTAATTCACCAGTCAGTCAACACTATTTTAAACAGTCAACTCTGTCATCACTGAGACTACGAACATAAAAATATAAAAAATGTTTTTGTTACCATTAAAAACAAAGGACTACATTGTAATGGGACCATAAATCCACAATAATAACAGTTACCTGTAAAGTACTACCTACTGAGACTGAAATATTCCATGTATTGCAGTAAATGCTCTGAGCCGTGGATGGTGTTTGATCATTGTTATGGCCGACCTGGCTGTGGGAGTGTAATTTTTACGAGTTACTGAATAGAGATATAATGATGATCATTGCCTTGAACATAATATAATTTACACCGACTCTCCTTTTTCACTCTCCTTCCTCCTCACAGGGAGGATGTGGTTCAGTCAGGACAGCGCTGCAGGTGATGGACATTTATCTGTGCTCCCTTCTCCTTGCCATCTCATCAGAGAGAGGAAGGGTAATGGTCGATTGAGGTGGTGATGAGGAGGGTTTAAGCTAAATGGATTCTCAGGGAGGTGGAGGAGGTAGGGGGGAGATGAGTTAGGACAGGGGTGAAGGTTGGAGTTAAGTTGAAAAATCCTCCTCATTATTCCACCGGTGTTAACGACTCCTGCTGGGCTCAGGCTGCAGAGTCAGTGGTGGGTTTGTGTTTGGTGTGGAGTGTGTGTTGTGGGACAACAGCTGTCATCACCTCAGTCTTCTTCACTTCTATATTCTCTCCTTTCAAGCCAAATGATCTCCCAGCAGACTTGCTCTCATTTCACATTTCCCTGTTTATCACGTTGAACCATGTGCATGTTAAACCATCTAAAGACACTGTGGTGATTTCTTTTTTTTTATTCCTCCAATCAAACAGGGGGCAGTGTAATCCCTAATCCCATGAAGTGCAGAAGACATGAGCACATGTCTGGCTCAGTGTATTGATGAGGCTCAATGAATTCCAGCTGTGGACAGGTCTTCAACTATATGTTTGGCCTCTCGTCTGGTAACTGATGTGCAGCTCCAACCATAGAAACGCTGCACCACAACCATGTGGCAGTTGGACCACACTGAGAGCAGATTTGTGTTGACTTTTCCTGCTCTGTTCAGTGAGTGCAGGGCTGCGCAGGAGACATGAAGCTTCTTCTGGCGACTGCTCTTACTCTCCTTTTCCTATGTGAGTGTGTGTTTTCTTGAGAAGTGCTATTAGTCTGATATGGTCCAATAGTTTTGCTTGTTTTTCGTCCTGCGAGGCGTCTTCATGACACGTCCACTGCCTTCTGTTCATCCCGTCTGCATGTCTGTTTCAGGGCTTCACAAGGCGCAGACCTCCGGTGACCCTCGGCAAAGAGATCCCTGTGAGGTGAGTAGAATTCAGTAGATCATGAAGGAGAATCATGATTCGTCCAATCAAGGTCCCATTGGTTTAGGAGAGGATTATTAAGGAATTAATTTGTCACTGACAGATTTTTAAACCAGGAAAAAACGTTGAATGTTTTCACAGTACATTGTGAACCTGATCATTTCCTTAATAATCTTCTGCTTTAAAAATGTCATTGTACAGTGAACTGCCAACATTAGATACAGCTCTTTTAGACAAGAGTGGGATGGATGAAAGTTGGGTCACATGTGACCAGGCTGTGTGAGTGTGTGTATTCTTGGTCTGGGAACACTCATTGATTTGAATCTCACAGTTCTGCATTGTTTGAAGTACTACAGTCTTTGCTGATTGTGTCTGGGCAGCATGTGGCCCACGGGCCACGGTTTGAATAGGCCTGGTGTTGGATGGTGATGATGAATCACATTTTTTATGAATGATGACTAAATACTAAAAACATCAGCTCATTTGTTCTTGGTTTTTAGGCTGCGTCCTGGAGTCAGACAGCCGTGTCCCTCCTCGTCTCTCCTCTCTCCCTGTACTCCTGGTTCACCTCCACGTTGCTTCGATTCCTCCTGTCTCTCCCAGATCTCCTCCTCAGCTCTCTGTACAACAGCCTCCTGCTGCTGTTTGCCTGGCCGTGGTGTTTCCTCACTCTCTGTGTCTCCGTGACGCTCGCCTGTCTTCACGTTGCCCTTTACCTGCTTCACGTGGCCTTGGTTTTTTGGGCTGTGGCCATTTTGACGCTCATAAAGCACAGCACGACTGACGGCGGCACCAAGAGAGAGTTGTATCGGCAGAAAAAACTGGAACGTTGTCATTTCATAACCAGGCTGCAGATGAAGCTCCAGAGACGATGTCAGTGATTTCCTCTGGGGCTTTTGTTTCTGTTTTTACCTGTTGGAGCTAAATTTACTCAATAAAGTATTGACCATGTTATTTACTCATGTATGAAAGGTTTTAACGTTTGATTCTATAATTCTAGACGTGTACATTGACACTGATTTTTGTGAAGCAGCTTCTGGGAATTGCTTTAATCCATGTTGAACAAACAATATTTGATATAAATACTTACCTTTTGAAAGCTCCTGTGTTTGTTAACCACTTTGGTTACAAATTATTTACAACAAACAAGTGCATCTTTACTGCCACTCGGGCAGTTACACCTTCATTATGTAGTCTACCTGGAACTGGCCTGTGTTTTTTTTTTTTTTTTTTTTTTTTTGTTAACCATGGGTTCTATCATTAAATTGGCCATAGATGAAAAAGCCACTCATTAGTTTGCATCCTCTGGAGCTAAATGAGGTTGAAATGACTTCTGCTTGTTGCTTCTCTGACAAACAGCCCGCCGTTGTCCACTTATCTATATCTCTTTCATTGTCTCCCTCTGTTGTCTTTAACGTGGTCTCCAATTATCAGAGGATCCTTGAGTCGGTTTCCTCCACATGTGCAGATGTTATCATTAGACTTGTCTGTCAAATGGAAATGAGCAGTGAAGAAAAAAAAAAGTCTCATTCATACTGTATATGTATATGTTTGTGTGTGTGTGTGTGTATTTGTGTGTGTGTACAGTGCAGTCCAGTCCAGCAGAGCAGTGCATGCAACCACATTCCTGAAAAACACTAATAAAGGGAGTTAACAGGGAGAGAAAGTAGATGTGGTGAGGGCGTCGAGCCACAGTGGCGATTGCTCAGCCAACCAGTAAACATTCTGTGCTGACATGCTGTGGCTCTCTGATCTCAGGGAGTCGTTTAAAACTGCACGAAAAAACAGTGATAAATATTACCACCAAAGAGTACAGCTGTAAAAGTAATGCTGAAGTTTCTATGGGGGAGTGTGTATTAAATATACAGACGGTGGGGGCCGGGGGCCGGATCATAGAGATTTATCATACGGCCCTGGCATCCTAATTAGCATAAAGACTGGACCAGCCCACTCAAGCAGAGAATTAAAAACCTTAATTGTGCTGTCAGCCTTCCTCTCCTATTCTCAGTGTTGACTCTACTTCATTCCGCTGGCATGTGACTCCTCCCCCTCTCTCCTCACCCTCCTCTCTCTGCCTGTGAAGTAGTCTGTGTCTGTGCTGTTTAATTGTTGGTGATAAATGGGAAGTGGGTTGTTTGTAATTGTCTTGTAGATGAGGAAGAGGCTGATGTGATTGTGCCGAGGAAGGACGTGGAGTTTGACAGCGATTGGTTTTCTTTTTCCTGAGCTGTAGAGTGATGTTTGGTCGGCAAAAGGATTTTTAGTTTTTAAATTTTTTTAAAAAAATTTACCTCTGATTAAGCTAATGTTGCTGTTGCAGCTGTTGTTGTGTGACAAAGGTCTTCATCTGTGGGATTGAAGTAGTGAAACATATCAGACCAGTGTCTGGTATCACAGAAGTACTTTAAAATGTCTTAATACACAGATTTAAGATGAGGTATCAGAGTAAAATAACTGGAGTACATTCATGTTCTGAAGTGACTTTCAGTCTTGGGATTTCAGCTTTCAGAAATTAAGAAAAAAAGCTTTAGGAATTTTAACTGATTTCCACTTATGTTTAGGTCTAAATTTGATGTTTACTTTGATTTTAAAATGGTTTATTTTGTAAGCGTGAAAAACCTGATCAATACGACTTGACAAAGTCGTAACATGTTTTTGTTATGAAATCAGGCAGTTCATGGAATTTTCTTGAATTACCCACATATCAGAACGCACCAAGATTCAAATTGAAACATTTAAAACTGTGTCGACTTTTTTGTTTTGAAGTGAAAAAAAATGCAAAACTAGAAAAATATGAGTTGTTTGTAAGAATATTCAAATTGAAACATTTAAAACTGTGTTGACTTTTTTGTTTTGAAGTGAAGAAAATGCAAAACTAGACAAATATGAGTTACAAATATATAAGAAGCAAGGAGGAGGCACGTGGGACAAAGTAGTGCAGCCGGTGAAGGATTTCTCTGTGGGAGGAGTAAGAGTTCATTCTGGAGAAGAAAGACGATGAAGACTGTGTTTTCAGGGGTCGGTCCTGGTTGTGTGTCTGTGCTGTCAGAGTCTCTGCTGCAGCAGCAGATGAGGTGAGGAGTCTCCGACTCCCTCTCTCACAGCTGACAGATGGGAGGCGCACACGTGCAGGTCTACACGTACAGAGCAACAACAGGAACTACCCACTTACCCCTCTGATGGTACCCTCTTTTAACCCATCTGCCCTCACTGTGACTCTTCGTTCACTTTATTTCTTTGTTTATTCTGTCTGCCCTGACTTCACTTTCTCTCTCTCTCTCTCTCTCTCTCTCTCTCTCGCTAATTGGTCTCCACTAGCTTAGCTCAGACAGGCCTATTCATCATAGCACTATCCCCGTGGACAAACCCTTAGGGAGCGAGGTGAGATAGACGGACTCAGATCAGAGGGCAGGAGGGTCTTTCACTTGTCAACTTTTCTTTTTTTTCTCTCTTCCTCTCCTCTTTTTCTCCCTCCCTCGTCTCTGTGCTCAGTTTATAGATGTCAGTTTTGCGGAGAGAAGGGGCTGCGGGTGAGGGAGGTGTTGGGGGGTCTGGGGGGAGTGGTGGATGTAGACACATTAGTTAGGCTATTAGTTCAACAAGCTGCTTCCACGCCTGTCAGTGGTCTGACCTGCACACACACACACACACACACACACGCAGTCCTGACATTTGTTACATGCAGTATCTGTGAGAGTGACGGCCGAGGAGGCTCTTCATGTCGCTAACATATCAGAGCGTTTTCGACCTTTATGATGTTAACACGGCACATTAGCACTGTGGACACCACAATACACACCACCCAGTGTGTGTGTGTGTGTGTGTGTGTTGTGTGTGTCTGTGTGAACATAGACATTTCTGTAAAGGGCAATGAGATCACATGTAGAAGCTCATCCACAGAAGTCTAAATGTCCTCGGTGATAAGGTCAAGCATGTTATTTTTTTTATTGAAGGCCTCAGTGACTTTCTGGTCATTTGATTAGCTCATAGTCTGAGCTGCTTTTCTCCTCAGCTCCTGTTTATATGAACATTTATATCAGAATTAAACCAATATTTACGTAAAGTTTCTTGAAAGGTGACAAAATACTTTAACGAAATACTTTTACAAAATACTTCAACTGTCGATTTTGTGTCAGTACATGCAGTAACAACAGAAATACATACATTTAACTTAAGGCGTACGGTCAAATGTTCTGAAATCACCTTTGCCCCAATTGTTAAGCCCCATATACAGCTGTATTCTACAACCTGTTAAACAACATCAAATGAATACTAAGGATGTACTCGTATTCTCATAGTATACTAATATACTCAAAAGTAAGAGAAAGAGGTGAAAAGTACTGCACGTCATATCTTTCTCTGCTTCAGGTTTGGACAGTTTGTCTTTTCATTTTCACCCATAATTGGACAGTTTGTCTTTTCATTTTCACCGATAAAACTTCTCTCTTTTTTTCTTTTTTTTTTAACATATTCTCTCTTGCTCTTCTGCGGCCCCCTCACTAATCAGCTGAAGCCCAATTATGCTCACTTGGCCCCAGAGACCCCTGTGCGGGGGGATCCAGAGGGCCAAACTGTACAAATGCTGATTGACGTTAATTTGCGTGACTTCTTGGCCCCTTTAAGTACCGCTGTTGTCTGTCTTCTGTTGAGGAGCCGGAGGGAGAAGGAATAAGTGGAGGAGAGGAGAGGAGAGGAGAGGTTCAGTGTGCCACCACCTCGTCATGTTACGTAATCTGAAGTAAAATGGAGTAGAAAGACAATACAGTGTGGCACTGCTTTAACTAGAACTGTCAACATTGTAATTAGAGAGACCGGGAATGTCCAACATCCAGGGCGGGGGCCAATCGTGGTACTTGGACAGGTTTGATATGGTCCGCGAACTCTTTCCTAAATTCAAGATTTAATGGCCTGTCGTTACGATAACAAACACTGTGTATATTTTTTATTTGATGGATTTTTGTAGTATCAAACACCATTCCTGTAATGGAGGTTTTTGCTTTGACTGTTTTTGAGCTTCCGCTGCCATATTCTTGATGTGTATTTTGACTTTCTTTAATTTTTTTTAGTCTTTCTTTTTAGATTTGGCAACAAATTCTCCGACATCTGCTCAAATGTGATTGGTTTGCCTCCTCTTTAGTAAAGTCTCATTTGTGTCCTGTTAGCGCTTGCTAACTTGTAGTGCTTCACATCTTTAATCATTTGACCGAGTTTAACATAACCTCTGTGGTCGCTGCCAAAGAACCACGGTGAGCATGTGTCTCACACACACACACACACACACACAAACACAAAACACACACACACTGTGTCAGTGCGTGGTCCTGGACATGCGCCCAAACTGCGGACAGCTCGGCCTGTGTCTCAAGCTGGGCGTGGGCTGTTTTCTGTGTGTGTGCCGTGTTGTCACCATGTCAAGGCTTGTGTCCTATTATCACCCCTCTGCCCATACTGCTTCACACACACACGCACACACACTGACACACTATCCTGGACTCGGCCAGCAGCCAAGACTGCAGCTCTGGGACCCTCCATTCACTCAGATTGCCGGGGTGAAATGAGATTAGCGTCTTAAAGACGGAGGTCCACTAGTGGATCGGAGTTTTTAAATCCAGACCAAGGTTGTTGAGGAATGTGACACTCCTCCTTACGATGCTAATTGGTCACAATAATCAGATCACGTACCTGTGCAGCCAAACACTGACTCTGAGCTTCAAAAAATTATTTTTTTTTATTCGGAAGGACCAATAAAATTATGGCAAGTATTTACAAATAATTACTTCTTAGCTTCACATTACAGGTACATAAATGGAATAATTCACCAACAACAGTCACTCAGGTGGACGGATGGACGGTACACAGACTGAGTATGAAAGGATGCATCAAGCAAACTGTCATTTAATATTACACAGTCAACCTAAAACCAGTAAAATAAAATAGCAATATTTTTGACAACAACCAAAACATTAAAAAAAAAAAAGCAAAATATCAAATTTACCATTTAGTTCCAGTGTCAAAATCAAATTTACCATTTAGTTCCAGTGTCAGTTTTTCTGAACAAAATTGGTCACAGTTCAGGAACAAAACAATTCAAGAGAGAGAAGAAAAAAATTAAAGAGACAAATTATGTGATATGATATCTTTGGCAAATTTGCACTGCAGTAAAATACATTCAAATATTAAGACAACACACAACACACGAAGAGAGAAAACACCAAGTTTTTGTTTGCAACTACTAGAAAATTGATTAAAAAACATACACATTTTTCTTAAAGAAGCATTTCTTTTAATGTTTTTAATCTTCCCCTCCAGAATACTCCAAGGCATTTCCTATCTTTATTTTTGTGTTCATATTTTTTTTAGGTCTTTCCTGATATTTTATATGTTTTTGTACAAGAATCTGATATTTAAAACAGGCATCACAGGCTTTGGTGAACGTCGTGGATATGTTTTCTGGGTTTAACTTTTGAATCGAAGGAGAGAAGTCGCCGAATCCTAATTTCACGTTTGCTTCCGTCTCTGTATTTTATCTTATATCTTTTTTTTGTAATTTCTGAAATTGTTTAAAATATTTTCTCCAAAAGACCACGGATATAAAATATCTCTTTAACACCCCAGATAAGAAGCCATGGACACAAAAAATTCCAGATTGTTACACGAAAGGCCACAGTAAGGTGAAAATCATGTATATTTTTGTCTTTATTTTCGTTGAAACACCTGCTCAAAAAGCACAGTTGATTTTTTTTTTTTTTTGATTTTTTTTTTTTAGGCTGAGTCATTTGAATTTCTCCTCTTCCACAGTTGAATAACATTAAGATGTACAGAACATTGTAACACTTGAGTATGAGATCTGTCCAGAGCCTAGTTATATTAGCAAGCATGAAACAGATTGTGCCACTAATTGCTGTCAAGATGTGATGCTGAAATCCCCTCAGGTTTTACAGAGGCTGCAGCCGTCCTCATGGATTCATATTGAGATACAGTCGGGCGGAGCGCACACCGTGAGAAATCATAGTAAAGCGGGGGGAAAAAAAACCTAATTTGCATTGATTTGAGCTTCTTCTTTGACTTCACTGGGTTCAAAATTTCAGGATGGGAGTGTATTTTCACAGATAATAAAAGAGCTGTGGTTCTAGAAATAAAACACGTTCCTCTGTTTAAACTCTATGGACGCAGTATAGGAAACTAACCTTCAGGAATATTCTAGTTTGAAAAGATATCGACAAAAACATTGCAGCTGAAATGACCTGGCTTCGGCACAGGACTCCAACTCTCATTCGGGTGCACAATTTCTAGCAAACAGCAGAGGGAGAAAACACAGGAGGGGAAGATGGAGGACTTTGAAGAAAAGGTCACCGGCCTGAACTCTACAGAATAGTTTTAATATTCTTAATCCTGGTGGTGTGGCAGTGCTACAGGAGGGGAGGCTTCAGCGGCAAGACGATGGCAGATATGATGAGATTAGGGCTGAGGGAGGAGGGAGAGAAAAGCTGGGATGAGCTTCTGATGGCACAGCAGGTTTGGACTCCCCTGGGGAACACAGGGTGGGGGACTGGGGGGGGGGGATCACCGCTCCGCAAAGGACAAAGGGAGGAAGAGAGGGAGTCTGTACTTACATTTCCCTGTTTTGTCTGCGTGTCCTCTGCCTGCCATGTTTCCTACTGTACCACCCACAATGACAGTCAATGTCACAGCTGCCAGTCAACGCCACGGCGACTCAGTGAAAACACATTCTTCATCCCCGTGTGAAACGCTTCAGGTCAGAGCAATGGCAAATCCAGCTGTGTCACTATCAGATGCATAGTTAACAATGAATCCTGTCAGTGTTTCTCTGGACGGCTGAGGCTAAACCAGCAGTCATGGCTATGGGGGGGACTGGCTCTTTAAATGACGGGGGGCGGGGGGGGGGTCACCTCACCACTAGCAGGTTGGCGTTTGGGCCGTGACTTTTTCCTGATGTGACACTTAACCTCAAGTTGCTTATCATACCCCGAGACGGGGCAGAACACAATCTGTGTTCTTCTAGGGCCAGAAAATGGTGAGGGTGGTCTCAGAAAGATCACTTGATTGAACCTTTTCATGTCGGATATCAATACTTCAACTTGAAGTATCTGTTGATACATATCAGATCAGAGACTATGGTTGGTTTTGTGGGTATTTGAACGTCACTGTTGACTGTGGGAGTGGAGGTTTTCTTGGCATGAACCTCAGAGTCCAGTCCTGTATTTCACTCTAGGCCTGTGTTTTTCTGACACATTGACTAATTGGATATCTGAACTTGGGGAAGTAATTCACGAGTGTCTTGGACGTATTTGTACTGCTTCCTCTACCTGTGCCACTCACTGTTTGGTCTTGTTTTGCTTGTGGCACAAACTCACTTTTGCTTCATATTCAAAAGTTAAAAGCATTACCAACTAATTTGTGCTGAACGGTGAGAAGTTTTGTACCATCTTTGATTTTGTTTGCTAGTTTTAAATCAGCTGTCTGATTTGACCACTTTGACGCTAAAGCAGGAAAACTGAGGACAATTTAAAGATAGTGAGAGGAATGGGTTTAGGGCAGTTTTTATTGACATTTATTTAGTAATGCTTACTCTGAAATTAAACTGGACAACTTTTGTCTGTTGAAGTTTTTTTTTGGTTAGCCTGTGGCAGTTTAGTTCAAGGAGTTGAGTTAATGGTTGGTGGATCTCGGTTTAGTGACTCAGGTTCCGATGGTCGCTGGGCTTGTTTGTACATATAAAACTAAAGGCACTGTCCTTGTTTTCAGCTGGTGTGGTTCAGGTTCAATAATGCCTCAAAAATGTTCAAAAGTTAGAAAGACAGAAATAAGGAACGGCTCCTGCAGCGACGCACGCTGGCAGCACGGCAGGGGAGATACTGTAAGAATCTTCTTTAGCGTTGTATGTGCACAACTTTAATAAGGTCTACAAAGTTAACAGGGTCCACTAACAAACTATTTCATAACCCAGAAACAAAAAAAGACTCAAAAAGTAGCAATTTTGTTCTGTGTTCAGACGTTTATGTTCATGTAGGGTACCGGATATTTCCTGTTTCAGATTTGGTGCCTTTTAAAACTGCACAGTAGCAGTGAAGCGCTGTGATCAGCCACAAGAGCCCGACATAATCCAAAGATTATTTGGAAACACTTGCAGACGACGGCTAAAACAACACCATGTACCGCTCGTCTGTTTTTTTTTTTTCAATAAAAAAATCACCACTGCTAAAGTCTCATGTCATTTACTGTATGACAAATTGAAAATGCTATAGACACTGACATCTGGTCTTTATATTCTAATTACTATACAACTCTTGTATGGACAGGAAGTGAGACGGACTCTCAGAGATTTGGGGGGAAATAATGCACTGGTTTCAGATCATTGCTAGAGGGCAAGTCTCTCCTACTGTGTCTGTACATTGAGCAGATAAGGCCTCAACCCTGGTGTCATGCATTGTCACAGCGCAAAACTGATGTAGGAGAGAAACGAAAAACAGGTTTTCTCTTTTTTTTTCTACAGGAAAACTGTAGTTTAATAGAATCAAGAAATACTAGGAAGAAAAAGTATTGAAATTACTTTTTTTTTTAACAAGTGAGTTGGAGTTGATTATGAATGATGATTAGGTCTCTTTGTGCTTTTGTAGTTAGCCGATCCACTAAGGGGGGCTATCTTTGGGGAGTTTAAAGAGAAAAATAGAACTTTAGAGAAAGAGAAGAAGAGGGTGCTGCTGCTGCTGTTGCCGCTTCCTCGCACTGACGTTGAAAATACAGACAGCGGATAAAAATGGACTCTTAATAAATGGCACCAGCATCAAGTGATATTAGGCAACAAACTATTAACAAAAGGATCGCAATAATAACACATATATAAACAAAGAAATCTTCTGGTATCGTAGTAAGGTTTTGATATTCCACTGCCTCACAGCTGCCGCCGTTATCCGTCATCACTATTCTAGCACAACAGCATAACACACATGTTAAATCATCACATTGCATTCACTCCTATCACTGAATGCAGCGCAGAAAAGCTTCTTAATATATTACTCTCTGTCTCCTCCATAAATAGCTCTTGATCAGGACTAGCTTCTGACCTGCGCGTTAGGATAGCACCTTCCTGTACAATATGACTCTAGTTCTGACATGTACATATACAGTTGGCTTCACTGAAACGGGTTTGGATCTGAAAATTTGAAATTGAAGTCAGTCAGTCATGGATGGAGGTTTCCCCTAGGGGGCGCTACAAATTACTTTCTTGGATAGTACGATGCCAAACTCTTAAGGGCTTAATGGAGACATGTATGTAGTCCCTAAAATTTGGGAAGTTTTTAGGAAATAAAAAAAAAAATTAAATTGATCGCATTAATGTATATTGTATATTTATTTTGCTTGTAACTGCAGGTGTTACTCTGTACTCTGTACTCTGTACTCTGTACTCTGTACCCCAATTTAGAATTAATCAACTATATTATTTCCAGTGTAACAGGTTCTATTATCAGACATGGATTTGTTTTATTCTTTTAAACAAACTTTTGACTGATGGATCAAGTTTAGACGAGTTTAACAACTCTATCTTGCGACATTATTTTGATTTTAGGCTAACTTCAGTTGAAGTATGTTGATTTAATGACAGGTTGGTTTGACTGAGCTCAACAGTGTGGTCATACGGAGGCCTTTATCAGCTGCATTGTGATCCAGAGGAAAATGTTTTATATCTTCCATCAAGAGAAAAAGAGAAATGATACCAATGTGTGAGTTTATTCAATCAAACATAGTACAAAGTTGGGATTGTCTTTTCTTTAGTGTGGCGTGCCAAACCAAATTCCCTTGTTGTGTGTAACTTATTGATTCCCATCAAAATACTGATACAAACATTTCACCAAAGATCACAATGCATACGTTTAATATACGTCTGCACAAAGTCCAGTGACCAATCAGATTACAGAAACACATGCATTATGGGATGGCCCAAGTGACTTTACAATGTGTTTGGTCCAATATCACATCTGTGGACACTATGAATAATAATACCGTTTGTGTTGGACTCAAGGCGTGCATTTTTTTTTTTGGTGTTATCATCAGTAAAACAAAAAAAAATAAAAGTTGAACTTTACTGACGTTTGAACCTCACGTGTAGTCAGGCTTATACTGAGCAGTGACGGTGCTATCCATCTCCTCTTCCTCCTGTTATCATCTTCTGACAGCAGCAGGCCGGGTCAGTGGCGGTCGTAGGCGGAGGCTGTTGCAGTGGCTGTAGGACCGGTGCCCCGTGATGTAGCGCTGTAATAGTAAGGTGACCCTGGGGAGAAACATGGGTTCACACTGAACAGTCGGCTTCAATGCAGTAGTAAAGGTAAACCTCTGGTAGAGTTAGTCAACTGAGTTTCTACACTTTCTCTCCAGAATTCCCAGTTATTGGAAACATGTCAGTCTGTTTTGGATGGTATTGACACCATGGCAACAGTTGTAATATGGAACATGTATTTTGTTTTATTTTCCTGTCCGTATAAAATCAAGAAGATTACAAAAATAATGTGCAATTCTCCAATACTAAACCATGAGACTGACCAGAAAATATGAACATTATCAGTCCTCTGTGACGCAGCAAAACCTAATGTACTTTTTAATCTATGATAATTTCGCTTTGCATCCCAATTACATGGTCCAATATTTAAAGAAATGTGTGGGTTTTTTTATATAATACTTCTAAAATGTACATGGCTCAGCAGATATGGTAATAATTGCTATTTCAATAGAGATCATAATGTCCAAAAAGGAAAACGCTGTAATGAGGGAAGTTTTTTTTTCCTGAATACGTGCTATGCTGCAGTATGTAGATAAAGAAAATATAAAGAGAGCAGCTTTGGTTTCTTGTCAAAATTACATTTTGCTTTAACCATAATGTAAATGTAAATGTAAAAGGCTGTGAAAAGATGACATGAGCTGATGGAGCTAATGACCAAAATTAGTCTCCATTTCCTGTAAAAGTCGGTCTATTTTCTTTTTAACATTTTTATCTTCATTATATCCATTCTTTCCTGTTACGCTTTATTTTGCTATCTCTCTCTCTCTCCCTCACTCTCTCTCTCTCTCTCTCTCACACACACACACACACACACTCAGATCTAGGTGACAGTCTAAGCTGACACACTGAGTACAGCTCTACTACTACTGATCCCTTGAGTCTATTCTCTCCTCAGGGAAGAGGTCAATTCAATACTGTAACCCTACAGACACACTGCATCCTGCACACACACACAATACACGTACTGGCGTAAACACACACACACACACTGCCCCCCCACTCCCACACAGCCATCTCTGTCACTTCCATCAGTCAGCCTTCTGTGTGCTGACAGGTTCTGTCTGTCCACAGACCAGGTAATCTCAGAGGGCTCTTTGGGGAAGTGAGGCATTAAGCCGTCCTGACAAACTATTTAGTTTCACTCAGGGCATCAGACGCCCTCTCTCTCCCCTTCAGATTTTTTTTCCTTAACTCTGTTTTCTTCCATTTCTCACTACCTTTTCTCCACAATATTTATTTGTTTTCCTGTCACAAACCTTACGTTTCGCTTTAAGATGTCGTGAATTTTAACCAAGGTCAAAAGAAAAAGGTATCAGTTTCAGGTGTAGCGTATAGAGATAGAGTTAAATGAGAAATACATGGCGCAGCGTTTGGGTTCAGAGTAAAAATATTAATAGCTGAAGCTTGTTGGTAAAAAAAAAATGATGCAGTGTGGTTTAAACCCCCTATTATTTACATTTATTTAGTATTTTTTTCCTGCAGTGAAACGACACATCCCCAATTCTATGACTTTGTTTTTTCAAATATTTGAAATCTATGTGTTAATGTGTTCCTGACCATGTGGACCACTAGTTTCAAGTTGTTTTTTTTATAGAACTTGTGTAGGAAACACACAAGTTCATGTGTTGTCCATTTCCCACTGATGTGTATTGAAATTTAAAACATTGACATTGTGTTTTAATAAAACAAAAAAACATCTAGAATTAATATTTGAGGTGATGAAGTCTCTTCACTGCAGCTGTGTCTTCAGATTCTCATTCATACAGAGTTACTGTTCTGATCAGCAGAGCACTTCTGTTTCTCTTCTTCCATTTCCCTCTCTATATCTCGCTCTCTCTCTGTCTCCCTGTGTCTCTCTCCACCTACCTTGCATCTGTCCTCCCTGGCTGGTGAAGAGACTGGAGGAGCAGCCGATTTCTGTCCCCAGGAGAGATCCATAATCCTTCTGAAACACTGAGGACGGGGGTGTGGGGGGGAAAAAGTCAGGAGAGAGGAAAGTGTTAGGATACACACAGAGGTGACCTCTTTCACCTTTTGACCTTTTACACCATCACCTCTTACCCTCTCAACTTTAATCACTCCAGTCCTGATACTGCCCCCTTGACACTGACTGTGACACTGTCTGGTTTTTAGCTCAGGGTTAATTTGTCCAGTTAGACACTAATGCAAAGGTGAAAGGTGACGTTGATCTGGTGTTTGGATCAAAATGGAGGAAGAGTGGACTGGAAGACAGGATTATCTTTATAATGTGTTTAGATTATCTCTCTCTGTTAAGATCAATCACTTTGTTTTGCCCTACAGTACAATCATTTAATCTTTATAATGTGTTTAGATTATCTCTGTTAATATCAATCACTTTTTTTTGCCCTACAGTACAATCATTTGACCAGTTTTAGACATTACACATACTGTATTTTTCTCATGTATTGTTGAGGGTAATTTAATTCTAATGTCCTGGAGAGAGACTAAATCTATTGACAGAAAAGTTTGGACTTTGGCTCCAATTAAACAGACCATTCTGGACTGATGTGCAGGTTACCTACCTAATAAACTAGGGTTTGGAAATCTCCATGATTCGTTGTATGTTGAATACTGAGGATGGGAGTATGGACTTCCAGAGAAATCTCCACCTGTAGGTAAAAGATAAATTCACAGAAAAAAGATTTGAACAATATTTTATAAATAATCGACTTATTGATTAAATACTTGAAGTTGTGTTTCATCGATCTTTATCGAGTCAACGAGTTTGGAAACTATATTTGATTGTTCTTTGTATGACCTAATGACCTTCCTCTAACTTGTGGTTCAATATTGGTTCAATAACTGACAGTGTTTGGAACATCTCCCAAACAGGAGGCAGAAAAGTTGCATTTTTGTTTGTTTATGTTGAGGGTTTGAACCTGGTCTGATCTAGAAAGTCCTCGTTCCTCACCTGAAGTCATTATTTAACTTCACACCTGTGTTTTCATTCATTCAAAACAACACATTTAACATTTCTCTCTCCACTGCTCTCCGGTATCTAGACAACAAACTCTAACGTCTGTGTAGGTGGTGAAGGTTGTCGGTTCGTTTCCTCTAAAGTCTAACAGTGTTGTTGTGCAAAAGTGTTGTCTCTCTGAGAGGCGAGTGCAGACCTCAGTGAGACTGGAGCTCTCCTCCTCAACACTGGTGAAATGATAGCTTAGCTTTTCTCCCTCATTTACGACTTACTGTCGAGAGTCCACTCTCCCCCTTCACCTCTTTCTTTCTCCCCCGCCTCTCGTCCTCTGGCCTGACTGACTACAACGCTCTCGTCACCCTTCACATCAAAACAAAATTTCTTCTCATTTTTTCACCTCTGTGCTGACTTCTCCTCTCATTTTTCCCCACTCTTTTGCTCTTTCTTTCTTCTCTCCTGAACCTTCACTCCTCCCGAGGGATCCCTCTCCCGTAGCTGACAGTCACAGACCTTGATGCTCCCATCCCTCCCACCTCCCCCTCCCGTTCCTCCTCTTTTCCTTGCTTTCTGTCGGTTCTGCCTCACTGCTTTCCTTCACCCCCCCTTGAGTGTCAGCCCCCCTGCTGCAGCGAAAGAGAGCGAGAGAGAAAAAAATGGATTGAAGAAGAGAGTTGCTTTCTTAATGAAGGTATAATATAAGACAGAGCAGATGAAAAGAAAAATAATTTGTCTGAGAATTGCTGAGATAAAAAAAAAATCATGAAGCTGCAAAGGAAAAGTTCAGACATTATCTTCGTTCAGGCAGTTCCCGGTGATCACAGAGAAGACGACAGATATTAGGAATGTTTCAGAGAGTTTTCCGTTTCATTCTACTCTTTGTGCCAGTGCGAGCGTGATACGGTGTGTGTATACGTTAAGCTGTCAGGTGGGGTTGTGATGTGGTTTCCACAGCGTCCCTGGGCACCAACATCCTCCTCCTGTCATGACCGCAGTGATGGCAGCGTGTCAGGTTGTTTAAAAGACGGAGGAATTAAGAGGTGAGGAGGAGAGAGGAGGAGAGAGGAGGCTCAGGGTTCTCCCCTGTGTAGCTCAATGTCATGGTCTCACACACGGACTGTCACAAACAAACACACACAGTCATGCCCACACACACACACTAATATGCTGTCAAACCTGAGGACAGGACGGGGTGAGTGCAGGGGGACGGGGCGACAGGGTTAGCCATCTTTAGACGTGCTGTTCCTACATGTCCATTGAGAATGTGTCTGTGTTTGTGTTTGTGTTGCAAACTGAATGACTGAGGATACAAAGCAACAAGAACAAAACCAAAAAAAACGGCAACACCGCTTTGATTTGCTCTGACCCAGACCAGTGCAGGACCAGGAGTGAAAGAGAGAGAGAGGGAGAGAGAGAGAGGAACTATGAAAATGGAGGAAAGACTAGTGAGAGAAAAAGAGGGAGGAAAAGTGGTGATCCAAAATTGAAACACAAAAGCGCAGTCGAAGGCAGAGTGGAAGGGAATGAATGAATTAGTCGTGGGTCACTGGTGATTCTCATTAAAAACAAATTACTAATGTTGAGGAGGGACAGCTGTGCTGCTGTGGCTGCTTTCTAATGACACACACTGGGCACGCGGAGGAACACACAAACACACACGGAGGTGTTCTCAAATGCATAAGTTCTCCTTTGGGATTATGGGGTGTTGTAGTTTTGACAGACGAGGAAGATGAAGTGGCAGACGAGGAAGAGGAAGTGGCACGGCCACGTGAGGCTCCCCAAAGATCTGCTCCTTCCTTCTCTCTTCCACTCTTCTCTACATACACGTGTGTACATTTATAAAAACGTAATAACTACTGTTTGTTTGTGGTTGAGTGTGTACTTACCAGGTACCATGCCAGTCAGGGAGGGGGTGGAGTAGCTGCCCTGTCCAGTAGGAGGGACATGTGGAGGGTAGCCTGGCAGAGTGGTGCTGGCTAGGTCTCGACCTGGAATCACACGTTTGTCAGCCTCATGAATGACCACGGGTGATATTTCATTTAACATATTTCACTTCAACATCATCATCATCAACTTTTGGATGATTGTTTCAATGTGTTTACGTCAGAATGAGGATAAACTTTAGGTTTCTTTAACTGTGTCAATGTTGTTGTAACTTGAATGAACATGAACATGTTTTTATTTTTATTACAAATTAAAATAACAAAGCTGTGTATTTTAAGTAGATTTCACTAAAATCATACCAGTAATTTTGACCTAGCTCATGTAAGACCTGGACCTTAGTGTTGAGCACAGCCCAGGAATCTGCAACAGCAACACCTGTCTGCAGCCATTAGAACTGCTCCCCAGAGTAAATGAGCTACGACTGTTTCTCTCCACTTCTGACACTATTCATATCTGTGCTTCAGTTGATACACTGGTGATTTATTATGAAGAGGAAAATGTTACAAATAACCCTTCAGATATTATCCACGGTGATGCAGGGTTTTTATTGGGGGGGGGCACACACGGCCAGGACGACCCTGCTTCTTTTGTTTCTTCTCTCCTTGTTTTCCATCCACTGGCGTCTATTAATTTACTGCCTCCCCCTCATCTCGTTACCCCCGTCTCCCCCCTCCTGCTCCTGTCTGTCACTGGCTGGATAGGATCTATAACTGCATTAGATTACATGACAGTGTGTCGGCCAAAATCATTTCTCTATGTTTGCACGCAGCAGACAGTCGGAGTGCGTGGAGGCGGAGACTTCCATTCATCATCATCACCGCACACACACACACCAGCAAGCATGTGCTCACGCAGACACACACACACACGCACACACACACACCGGCCGCGACACCCTCCTCTCTGGTTTCTACACACACATTTATCATCATCATAAACACCTCAGACGTTAACACCATCAATCCCATTCACTTCCCCTTCACTTAACCACCACGAACTAACTGAGTGAAGAGGGGGAAGAAGGAGGAGGAAGAGGAGGAGGAAGAGGGGAGAGAGGCAGGAGAAAACACAGCTATTAAAGTGTGGTGATACAGTAGTGGTATAATGTACGATCACAGAGTTTTAACATTAGGTCACATGACTTGGACTTTTACTCCTGAGCTCCTCTAGACCAGGGCGGGCCAATAAGGAGACTGGGATCTACCAGTAGATCAGAGAGGGAGAGCTGGTGGATCATGAGCAATGAATTCAATATATATATATATATATTGTAAGAATCTAATCATTTGTGCCAAAGAGTTTCATGTATTTAATCAGTACCTAAACATGTAATACTTTATACCATGTTCACTTTATATGACTGAATTTATATTTAATGTTTTCGCTGTAGGTAGATCACTTGGTCATTTGAATAGTAGCTCGAGACTGTTGTTAGCTGGCAGAAATATTGTTTTTGGTGATGACCTTTGTTAATGTTGATTTCAAGTCTCTTAATCTAAAAAAACAAACGAAGTGCAGATGTTTTGTTGTCCACTATACAGTTTAGTTTTGAACTTGGTAGAAAATA